TTCTTTGTATTATTAGTTGTTATTTTGATTTGTTTATTATGTATTAATTAGTTATTATTTATGTTTTTTTCCTTTAGTTGTAAATGTTATTATTTGTTCTACTGAATGTTAGTCTCTTTCCATATTATTATCCTACATACTATTTATTAAAACTTACATGGAATAATTTATCTTTTTTGTATCCACAAATCTATCAAGTGATAATTAAAAAACAACATAATACAGGGTGCGGTCGAAAAAAAAAATAATTATGATTTTTGGCCCTAAAACCGGACCTGAAATTATTTTTTGAAATGGTGTAGATGCATACAATTATAAGTATTCAATATCTGTAGCTTTTAGAAATATACTTCTTTAAATAATTTTAAATATACCGTAATAAAATTAATAAAACTCCGTCCGTTTCCAGTTTGTACCTCCAAAATGCTCAAAAATAACAATTTGGATTTATAATTTCAGTAGTAAAATCGTCTGCACAAAAATAAAATGTACATTATTGGATTCAGTTTTTTGTGCTCTGTTCAAATATGAAAACAAAAATTTTAAATTCAGACATACAGGATGTTGTTTTAAGGATGGACGAATTTATTAATTTTTTGTAAAGACGGATCTGGATTTCGTTTCTTGTTTATACCTTTTTAGACTTGGTAAGTTACGGTGAATAAGTACGCCAAATGTCAAAAACATATACAAGGTGGTTAATAAGTTATGAGTCTGGAAAGAAATAGGCCAAATTGATAAAACACTCTGTATCTCGGCTATAAAGGTCGAAAGGCCCATTAAGTATGGGTTATTTGGAAGCACCTCGTGGTCTCCATCCATGGTTAAAGGGAGTCTCTTTACTAAAGAAACACCCTGTATAACGAGTTGAGGAAAAAAAAAGAATAGGAGAAAACCTAAAGAACTTGTATGAATATTAACCGGATATTGCCGTCTTAAAAAACATCTGTGTAACATCCGCCTGTCAAAAGAGACTATAAAGGTCTATAAGGATATTGAAAAAATAATAATTTTAGACAAACTGCTAATCAATAATAAAAAGATAACAACAATTATAGATTATGCAATATATACAGTCCTAATCTAATCTAATCCCTAATCCCATATCCAAACTGCGTGACATACCCCGTAAATTACAATACATCGACACTTCCAATGAACAATGACGTATCTTACTTTTACTTAATTTTATAAATTGTTTCATACAAATGAAGTTTTTTTTTATTTCTAAATACATCTTTATATAGAAGTCAGTAGTTACTTCTTACTTCCACTAAAAAAATATCGTTGATCCAGAATAATCGTATCTCAAATTACAAATATTTGAGCATCATTAACTGCATACTACGAGCAAGAAAATGAATGTAACTGAATATAAAAACGTATTTTAATCTGATTAAACGTATTTATTATGACAATAAGTATTTTAATACGATTAAACATATTTTAATAAGAAAAATAACGTATGCTTTTAGATATACTTGGTAAAGTTGTCATATAATAAAGATGTAGATTAATCGATTTACTTCTTTGTTATGGTCGAGAATATTCTACTGTTGTTCCTTGGAAGGACGTAACTTTAACTACGGTTTTTTCAAGGTAGAATAAAAAATAACATTCGGTTTACTTTTGTATTCCGGTACAATATCTACGAAAATATATATCATAGACATACGTCGTTTATAACTACTGTCGGATTCGTCTTTTTCTGTACATTACCATAGTGTTAACAGTCAAACAAAGACGTATTTTGAGTTACTTCTTTGTTCGTTGGGGTGTCGACATTTATACTTTGTACGTATCTGACTCGTTTCTAAGTTCTTAATTATGTTATGTTGGGTATATTAATGTACTGCGACCTAAAAAATCTGTTGTGTCTTCTATCCTATCTTTTCAAGTAAATGTAGAATTTGGAGTGGCTTCAAGTTAGGTATACTCCTAAGTATAGTACTCTTGGATTCTGGAGTGCTACACATTTAGTCAGAATGTAAATGGAGGTTTCGTCCTGCTCCTCCTCCTAGCAGAATCTTCGGTAATGCTCGGTAAGGATCACTGTTATAATGCGTACTCTGTTCTTGCTCAAGCAGATACAGGCTTCCGATCTTTTCTGGTTATATTCACCCAGAAGTATATTATCCTTTCTTAGCCCCAAGAGATTGTTCCAATTATCAGTTCTTCTACTGCTCAATTCTTTTTTAACCCTAATATTGGGTTACTTCTGATACCGCAGAACGGCTCAGTCCCACAAAGAGTATTTGATCCCCTTTTCTTGCAAAACTCGTTGCCGTTTACCACGTTCATTACTTATTATTAAATAAAATTGATTTTTCTTATTGAAGTGAAATTTATCCAATGACATAAAATATCGCTCACTGGCGACTATAGTAGCATTTCTCAATAAAATGCAAACTTCCTTAAAGTACTATTTGAAATTTTGTTAAAGTTTCATCCAATAAGACCGGAGTAAAATTGGTTGAGATTGACTCCCCGAGATGGCGAATGTGTCACTTTGGCGTAACATGGCGTATCTTTAATAGGCCTCTGACCATATATAATGTCTCTGGCTGTGTTAGATTCAAATGGTCGTGTGTAAGCAATAGTGGCACAAATGAATGACATGCTTTGTGTAAGAATTAGTGGTATATTTTGAGTTATGCCACTATAAACTTTTTATTTTTAATTAATTTCGTTAAATGTGTCATTATAGTGTTCTTATATAAAGTGTGACACTTGGATTCAACAATAGTGGCATATCTTTCAAATATCACGTTTTTGAAAACACAACAGGCTACAAAAATTTGGTACTCAAAACCTTACTATGATCACATTTAAATGACATTTGGAACATGTAAATTGAAAAAGCTAGAACTTTAAATACTGATTTTCTCCATAACTTTTATTTTTGAGTTGTGCCATTGTGCCTGAGATCGATATGATTCCAATACATTTTCCCAGAGTACGCTTTGATAAAACTATCATCGGAGAAACGCTTCATTTCGTATTATAAAGGTGTACAAAGGCACCCTGATATTTACAATTTGAAACGAGATTCAATTGATATAGAACGTTTGACTATTTTTAGTTGCATAATTAGCTTAGAAACAGACAACGCCGTTAATATGTGTACTTGGAACTAAAATTAGCAGCTCATACAGTGGCGTGACACATAGGGGACGCTGTGCCCCCTCAGACTAGGACTTTTATAAAATAAATTGAAGTGACAATAGAGTAATTAAATGAGTCATTCAAAAAATTTGGAAGTAATTAAAAAATGTTTTTTAAAAATAATATGTAATCGAACTTATCCAACACAAAAGCTTTTCTAAGAGACTAGTATATCTAGATTACGAACATTATATTTTTATAGAATGCTGGGTCTACAACAAAAAAATAAATAAGAATGATAATCAATCTCCCACATACTTGATAAAAAAAGTATTTGAAACCGCAAAAGCCACAAAGTCAATTGATCAGAAAGCATTTTATTTTATTGCACCACGTATTTTTTAAAAATTCCACATTTTATTAAAATTTTAAATTATTTCCAGTGTAAAACAAATTGAAAATTTGATTACAACAGCTATCAGAATAGTAGTTTGTGCAGCAAGAGTGGATATGATGGCCATAATTTTTTTTATGACCCACTAACGAAAATCTACAAATTTTATTAAGATAAAATAATTAATTTAAAAATAGGTTATGACTTTTACTAAATTATAAAATTAAATAAACTTGAAACAGAAAAAATTTGATTAGTCTTCAGTCCTAGATTTGAACCCCGGACCTTTCGCTTGGCAATTTAGTACGCTACCCTCAGTTTTACAGAACATTAAATTGATTTTAAAAAGTTTTAATCAAATTTATGATTTTTACTTTCATATGTGTATATAGACAAGGAAAGTATAGCATGATTTTTTCGACGGATTTTTACGTTTTGGGGTCCCCTGAATCCATTTTAAACTTAAGCTTTAATCCATCCTGCAGCAAAATGATTAGATTTTTGCCATAGGCGGAACATCTGGGGGGGGGGGGGGAGAACTTTATAGGCGGTTGTTTTTCTACTTTACGTAATATGAAATATATTCATGCTGTTGAACGCAATGACCTATTTTTTTGTTTTGTAGTCTGAGTAGAATAGCTAATATCCATGTGGGTGTAGAAAACATATTTTTTTGTTTTATTATTATTTTTAAAATAGTCCAAATTAATTTTTTAAATTTGTAAATTTTCGTTATGGAGTCGTAAAAAAAATATAGTGTACAACTCGAATGGATTGTCCGTATCGCTCAAACTTCGCCTTTGTGCGATATGGCCATTATATACTCTCTTGTTGCACAAACTACTATTCTTGTCTGTTTATTTATTTTATGTTGTGTATCTGAAATTATAGTAACGTGTTGTTAATATTTTAAAGGCAATTTATTTATTTATTAGTTCAACCTAAGAACAGACGTTTCTATCACCTTACGAAACTTAAAAAACACTCGATAAGAGTAAATAAAATTTTTTTTTTTTAGAGAAATTTCAATTATTCGGCGATTTTTCAAATGATTGCTCTCACCGTTTTTATAAACAGTGTAGCGAACGTTAGTCTATATTAAATTTCAAGGAAACTCCAAAATACTTTCGCGCGATAGGAAATTCAAACAGATTTGACCTCATTTAAAGGCCCTCAAAGTATATTAAAAAGTCGGAAGGTAATGTTCACTCCTCTTTTCATTACTTTCTTTAGAGTATTTGAAATTGTGGAGTGGATATAAAGTGTCGGTATACATGATTCCCTATGCGGTAACTGTAGCTGTAAAAACACAGATAAGGACCCTTTAAACGGCGAAATTTGTCAAATACTGCAAAAAAGCACCATCAACCAGTTGAAGAGTACAGCATATTGTTATACCGTATGATCATAAGAAAATTTTACATATTTATAACATTTGAAGGTCATAATTTAAACATTATTTTCACTTTGATATATTTAAGTTTTTATTTATTGCTTAAAGGTATGGGGATGTCATGGCTGGCCCAAGTGCGGTGCGTGCACTTGGTGATGTTTGCAGTCTGCCTGATCCCACTATTCGTATGTCTTTCGTACCTGAACAACAATCAACTCCACACGACGGCATCCCCGCTCAGAACCTACGAAGTACGTTTAGTTCAAACCAGCAGCAGCAATCTCAGCCAATCGGACACCGAAGGGCAACTACCACCAGCTGTTCCTTCACATTCAACCAATGCCACTACGAATAACACCAACCAGGGTCCCGATCTTACCAAAGGTAAATAGCGATATTATTCGTAACTAATTTTCCGTCTAACAGTCCAAGTCCATAATACGAACTTCATTTCTAGGAATGTAATTCAATTAATTTAAACCGTAATTTTGACCTGTAGACTTTGGAAAACCGACGGCGAGCGGGTTCCGGTCATAGAGGTAGTTAATTTGGGGTACATAGAAGTCCCATGACCGAGCAAGAGGTACCATAATTATCCGATGCGTCAAATCGAATGAGATTTTGACCAGATTCTATGCACAGATTGCACTATCAACCTCTCGAGTGGTACAAATTACATAGTGCTCGTGATGCAATCACAAACGTACCAGTCTCAGTCGACTGTCACTGATGACCACCTTCGTGTCGTTAATAACTTTGTAGAAATCGAAAAGCCAAAGTGTTAAGTAATTTCATCCGAAGTGTCTTGGAAGTGCCCACTCTTCATGCCAAAGACTGGTACAGATCGGCATTAAAAAGCCGCGAGATGCGCCAAAGGTGGACCCAACACAGAGAACGATCGCCTCAAACAAGCGTAATGAAATGCTTCCCTATAAACCTATAAGAAATAATGAGGATACAAACTTATTTTATAAATTATAAATCTTATACTGCGTGTTTATAATATTAGAATTATGAAAATAACAATTCGCTGTGCTTCTAGTTGGGGTAAGCTGGAGAGGGGGGCATAGGAAGCATAGAAATCGCATAGGATAATTTAATTAATTAACCGACTGATGATTTTTCCATCATTATAGCTAACGATTATTTTATAAAATTAAGTATTGAAACTATTGAATATAAAAATTCCAACTCCAACTATTTTGACCAATATTTCGCGACTTTAATATTTTTTTTTTATATATACTGAATAAGTAACTGAAGTTTTTAATAACTATCTGACGATCTTTCCTTTATTATATCATAAATAATGATTAGTTTTATTAAATTAAGTAGGTATTTAAAATATAGAATTGGTATAAACTATTATAAATTTAATCTGATCAATATTTCGGTGCTTTTTTTTATATTTTGTTTTAGTTTCACTTTGGACATTTGGCAACGGTGTAAGGTTGTTTTTAGGGATTCATCGCTTCAATTATTTTCTTTCATTTAAGAGAAATGGAGAGGGATTTCAGAATAGTTCGGATCAATTTCTGATCGCTGTATTTGTATCAGTTGTCAGTTATGTTGTGTGATGTTTATACAGCAGTTTACTAATATAATAAATTTATAAATTACATAACTAAGTAAATAAATAAATGTAACATGACCCTATTTATACTTAAGTTACCTTATAAACAATAGTTTTTACTGTAGCGACATATATTTAAGTGGTCTTCCCAACAGTATTGTACAGTTTTTATAAAACCCTACAGCCCGAAACCATAATTTTCTCATATTCAGGTCCCTGAGATAAATATAAATGTTTTGTACCCGTTGAATTTAAACAGTTTGGTACAAGACACATAAGTATATATTTTTAATGATATAAATAAAATTTGCAACATTTCATTTATAAATATTGATGAATTATTCATGTAAAAAAAATATTAAAGTCAAAATTTATAATGGTTAGAATTTTTATATGCAATATTTTTAATGCTTAATTTTATAAAACTAATCGTCAGCTGACGATATAAGATCTTCAGTCAGTTAATTAACTCTTTCAGGATGGATAATGCTTATTAATGTTACGCCATACGGCCGGAGACAAAACTACCACACAGCCTAATATGCGTCGCTAATTTACTATGTAACTTTTAATGAAAAATTTATATTTTTTACTATTCATCCATCGCTCCATACTACCTATTATAGTATTTTCAGAAAGAATGAAAAACAAACTCAAATTAAATATTTCCCGCGTTTTTCAAAAATACTATCCGTACAGCCGGCTAACGCTCATATGCGTCACTACGTTCTACTCGCTCAAGAAATATTTATGCGTAGCCGGCGACTGGTATACTCGTATGTCATGTGAGTTTAGTCAGCTTGAAAGGAGTTATAAGCGTGTGACGCATATAAAAATTGAGATTTTTTCGCCTCACATTTAACACGCGACTAATCTACATAATAAATAAAAACCCTACAGCTGAGAAAACTACTATTTTTTATTACTATGGGGTCTATTCTGTAACTATAGTTGTTATCTGGCAAACTTTCTATCTTACCACTTTCATAGAAACTATATATAACAACTTTGGCAAAAGTAGCTATTCTAATATTCACGATTGCTATATTAGTCTATGCTGTATCATACAGTTATGCTACCGACCAAGTTGCTATGATCAAGGTCAGTTGTTGTGTTACCACTTTGAGAAAATCAGAATTCTTTAAGTAAAATCTGTAACAACTAGTGGTTACAAAAGTTGATTCAGAGTTATTTGGAAGCAACCAAATATGCTTGATGGTTAAGCGTAACAACTAGTTGCTAAGAAAGAAATATTATTGGCCCTGGATAATAAATATTTTAATAGACCAATAAATTAATGGAATTTATATTTACTGATAGAACTAAATATATTATTTTCTCTAATAATTTGATTTAGGAATGAAGTATAAGATTTCAGCAAAGGCTATACTACTACTACTACTACTTGCGATCTGTATATGTAAGGAGGGGTGACCCTACATGTCACTTAGGCTTCAATAGACCTATTGTGCATCCTTCAGGGGAATTTAAGACCTGCCTCTCAGCTCTCCAAAACGTCTGGTGGTTGATATGTTGATATATAACGTCATTCATTGCGTTCGGTCTGCCAAGTTCCTTTAACTCCTTTAACACTTTTTACTCCAAACGACCCTTTTAGCGTTCGGTTTAGTCCGATTAGTGACAGTTTAACACTCTTAAATGTCATTTAACAGCACCCTAAAAAACTCCACTTTTGTCCCGCTCCAGCCCCTGACTATCCGAACTCGCCTACTGAGAGCTGTCTCTTAAGCGGCAGTTTCACATGGCAGTTGAGTGCTATAGCAGCGACTGTCAGGTAGGATTGGTCACACTGTTAGCTGTGAAACATACCACTGTTATAGAAGCTGAATGTTATACAAGTTACTGTTATAACTAGAAATATTTCAACTTTTTGTTATAGCAGTCGTATTTAGGTTAAAATAAAATGGCGAAATTTGTTAAAACTATCAAACGCATTGCGTTCTCAGATGAAAAAATTATAGAATTAATTGAATTATATCGGGAAAATGAATGTCTTTGGAACATTAAGTCTGCCGAATTTAAAAATTATATTAAAAGAAAAGCTGCAATTACTGATATTGCCAAAAAATTGTTTGTCGAAGAGGAAATAATCAAAAAGAAAATAACTTCAATACGATCTTTTTACTTGATGGAAAAAAAAAGAAAATTTCGGATAGTCACAAAACAGGTTCTGGTACAGATGAGTATCCTGCTTTGCAATTAAAGGTCCAACCTAAAATTTTTTACTTTATTGTTGAAAATGTACAAGAATTATAACATACGTACCTTCTCGTGCAGTTCTAAAAATTTTTCGTAAGGTAAACGAGTAAAATTTTGAAAATCACCTTCTACATTTAACAATTCAGTTAATAAATTATTGTCCATGTCAAACTGTGGCCTGTTTAATAAAGGTGACTATACCCAGTACCTTTTCTTGCTATATCTTCTTCGTTTGGCTTCAAGATTTTTCTTTAACATGATTTTTTTATTGGCTAATAAACAAATAATTGCACAATTTAACAGTTCTTTTTTAGTCGGCACCATTTTGAAGCAAGCGATTAAACTCACTTTGTGAATCAGGTGTAACAGTAAAACTATCGCAATAGGAGTCACCCCCACCAAACAGTACAATTGTTATAGCACTCAACTGCCATGTGAAACTGCCGCTTTAGATCATCAAAAGGCCTGCAACTCTGCTTGCGATAAAATTGCACATTAAATTATCCTGTCTTGATGAAAGTTTACAACTACATATTTATGACCTTTTTTAATTTCAAATCAGTCTACCAACAAAAATCAAAAGTCCCAAATGATAAATTATATTTCACTTAACGTCCTTGACCGGGAGATATAAACCTCATTGGTCCTGTCTCTCCCGACTTGAAGGTTAAGTTGTTAAAAGCCTGGTTTACACCACACACAACTTTATAGCAACCGTGAATACTAGAATAGCTACTTTTTATCCAAAGTTGTTATACGGTTGCTATAAAATAATACAACTTGTAAGTGTGGTGTAGATCAGGCTTTTAACAACTTAACCTTCGAGTCGGAAGTGCCGGGACGTCAAGTGAAGTGTAATTTTATCATTTGGAAATAGTTACATTTTGTTGGTGAACTGGTTTGAAATTAAAAAAAAAAAACAGCAAAATGTATTTTATCTCAAGTAGATCTGCAGGCCTTCTGAGAGATAGTCATCCCTATAGACATCTCACCTGAAAGGTAGCATTTAGAGGATGCACAATGGGGCTATTGAGTCCTAACTAATGTAAGGGGAACACATCTTGCAGATACAGATTACAAGCAATAAATAGTAGGTTTTGCTGAAGTCTTTTACTTTATTCCTAAAACAAATTATTCCAAAAAAAATATGATAAGTTCTGAGTATCTTATCATTAAACATACCTCCTATTAATTTCTTATTATCCAAAGGTCCATATTCCTGTCTCACAACTAGTTGTTATGCTTAACCACCAAGAACCTGGAACCCCCAATTGGATAAAACCATCAACAAAGGCCCTTAGAAGGATATGCGGCAAAGCATGGGGGATCAGTCCTCAACTGATCTACTGGATTTACCAAACAGTGGTAAAACCCATGGTTACGTACGGCTCTGTCGTCTGTGGAACAAGGGACGGCCAGAGCAAAGCTGGCAGGAATACAGCGGCTTGCGTGCCTCGTCATAACTGGAGCAATGTCAACCAAACCTACGGGAGCCATGGAGACCATGCTGGACCTAACCCCTCTCCACATTCTGCTGGAAAGGGAGGCCAGGATGGTCTCCTACAGGCTCCTGAAAGTGGGTAGTCAATGTTACGAAGAACTGCGATGGGACAAGACGGGGCTGATGAGTGATATTAATAACCACCTCATCCTCAGCATGGTCTCGGATTCGCTAGTTCCCTGATAACACATAGAAAAGCCATACAGCGTCCTTATTCCAGAGAGAGACGCATGGAGCAGAGGGGAAATACCTCTCCCAGGCAGACTATGCGTTGTACATGGACGGCTCCAAAACTGAAAAAGGAGTAGGAGCGGGAGTTTTCGGTCAGAGACCTAGAGTTGACATATCAATAAACCTAGGCTCTCTGGCCACGATCTTCCAAGCAGAAATGATTGCTATAGAATTGGGAGCGAGAGAATTGATTAACAAGACTATAAAGATCTTTTCAGATAGCCAGGCAGCCTTAAGGCCCTCAGCTCCAATCGAGTTGACTCAAAGCTGGTTTGGAACTGTATAAATACCCTAGAATGCCTCGGTGCCCGGAACAAAGTTACTTTGATCTGGGTTCTGGGACACAGTGGTGTGGAGGGCAACGTAAAAGCCGACGCACTTGCTAAAAGAGGAACCGAATCTGTGTTCATAGGACCAGAACCATTCCTGGGCATTGCAAAAAGCACTGCCAAAGAAATTATCTCAAAATGTACGATGGGTGCAACACTTACGAACTGGAGAGATACCCCAGGGCTAACCCATTCGAAGGCGTTTATAACCAACCCTTCTATGAACGCCTCTGCTCAGATCCGAGAATGGAGGCAACCACATGAGAAGGATAGGTCTGCAACAAACATCGGACTGTCGATTCTGCAGCTTGGAGGACGAGTCTGCAGAGCACATTTTATGTACCTGCTCCGCTCTGGAAAGAACCAGGTTCCAGATTTTCGGATTTACCCGACTGGAGCCTACCGAATTTAAACAAGTCTCACCCAACTCAACCATGACCTTTATCAAAAGGTGTGGCTTGTAAGGTGAACTATAAGTTAGTCATAAGCCACAATAGACCCATCTGAGTCGCAGTGGAAGGCGATGAGATCATCCCACTCATTTTCAACCTAACCACCAAGAATATTTGATTGCTTCTAAGTCACTCGAAATCCACTTTTATAACCACTTGTTACAGATTTTACTTAAAAAATTCTGATTTTTTCAAAGTGGTAACATAACGACTGACCTTGGTCTAAGCCACTTGCTAGCTAGCAACTGCATGATACAGAATACTATAACTCATTTGGAAAACGTCTTAGCTACGACTCTTATGAACTCTCATAATTGTTTCTTGTAAAAATGGACTTCCGACATATGTGAATTAGGGTAACAATATATACATCACCGGACGTGAGGAAAGTTTTATAATGACGCATATGTGCGTTACCTGTCTTGAAAGGGTTAATTAAATTATGAGAGGCTGAAATTCCATGCACGCTCAATACCTTACCTATGACCCCCCTCCAACTGACGGTCTTACCTCCACTAGAAGCATATCTGAATGAAATTTTCATAATTTTAATGATAATATAAATACGCTGTATAAGATTTATGATTTATTAAGTAAGTTTTTATGCTCACTTTTTATTACAGGTTTATAAGGGTAACTGATGAATAACCCATTGTCAATGCAGCCGACTGTAATTTTTGAATTCCGTATTATTCAAACAGTCGTACAAATTTTGAAGTTCATTGAAATTACATTTTTATTTTTTTTTACATTTTTAGAATGTTCTCTCAACCAGCTCGAGCCAAAGCGTTAACGACTGACGCTAGTTTCTATTATTAATTTTATTCAATAATTTCATCCCAAAATTATATTTGTTGAAATCAACTGCTTCCTGGACTAATATTTTTTAGTTTAACAATCAATAACTTACCTTCTTTAAATACGATTCAGAACTATAAAATAAATTCAATTTCTTTTTTTAAGGGGTAGCAGCAGAGAAAATCTACGAAGCCGGCCACATGCATCATACTTCTGAAATATGCCTCAACATGGGTAAAGATCTCAAACTGCTGATAGCTATTACGTCGGCCCCAAGTCATGAAAGTGCCAGATTAGCTGTAAGGGAAACATGGGGTCATTTTGCTATAAGAAAAGACATAGTCATAGCTTTTATGTTAGGTTCCACTTCAAATCAGACTGTAAATGATAGGATAGAAAAAGAACAAGAAATGTATGGTGATATTATTAGAGGAAAATTTATAGACACGTATGACAATCTTACTTTGAAGACCATATCCATGCTCGAATGGGTGGATAATCTATGTTCGAGGGCGCAGTTCGTACTTAAGACAGATGATGACATGTTTATAAACGTCTCGCGTCTTTTAGCATTTATTAGCAAACACAAGCCTGAAGAACGAGTAATATATGGCCGATTGGCCAGGAAATGGAAGCCAATTAGGAGAAAACAATCTAAGTACTATATTTCTCCGCAACAATATAAACCTACAGTTTTTCCAGATTTCACTACGGGTCCCGCTTATTTATTTCCAGCTCATATAGCTAAAGAACTTTATCTAGCGTCTCTAAACTATACGTATTTTAAACTCGAAGATGTTTTTGTCACTGGTATTGTGGCAAACGGACTGAAGATTAAACGGGTACATGTACCAGAATTTATTAATAAACGCGTTTCGTTCACGCCCTGCAACATCCAGAAGGAGATCAGCATACACATGGTGAAGAGTGCTGAACAGTACGATCTGTGGAAAAAGTTACATGACGTAGCAAAGTGTAAAAAATAAATGTGATTGACTTCGAACAAAAGAAAGACTTGTGATTAGTTTACAATTCTTTATTATGAACAGTATTTTATTTTAAGTTAAATTATTTTCTATAAATAATTGTATACTCGGGTAGATTATAAAAAAATACATCACATCAGACCCTATTTAAATTAAGAAATTATTTTTTGTAATCTATTAAAATTAAAAAAAAAAAAAACGATTTTTTGTATTATACTCGCTCATGTACATAAGATTTAGAACTCATTTTTATATTTCAATTAAGATCAAATAAAATATTATAAAATTAATGTAAATATATTTGTACAATATACTCTAGATTGAACGTTTAGATTCTTTCTCTCTAATTTTATTCATCATTTTGTGGAGGAATATACACGAAGGAATTCACTTCTTGCAACACCAATTCTGAAAAAAAAAGTCAATATTATAGAAGCCTTAAATGCCCAAGCAAGTTTTTGTACATTTTAATTAAAAAAAGCTTGGATATTTAAAGTGCAATAAACTGTTAATTATATTTAAATAAGTTCTATTGTCTCCAAAATTTATAAGTGTGAGAATATTTCTAATTAAATATTTATCTAAATTATAACATTATTGTTCTAGTTAGATCGTTAACTACTACAATAAAAATTTAATTTTTTTTTCCTTTTGCACAAATATAACAAAAGGAGTGTTTTCTTTTATTTTTTATCTAGATTTTATTCAAAACCTTAAAATGTTCAATTTTTCCTCGTTTTCTTTTCGTTCCCATTATTCAACAAATAAATAATAGTGATCTGCCTGTCAATTTCTAATTAAAAATGATGACGTTATTTTTTGTTTTTTTGCCCTTTCCGGAAACCCTCTGCTCACCTCTGAAGGGTTACGGCAGGGTTCCAGTCTACCTTCCGTCCTCTGGGGTTCGCATGGCGGCACTGCAGCCTCACGGGCTTATTGTACCACCATTTAGATTGCATACTCAGTGGCGTAGCGTAAGAGAAGCACCTGCCCCGGACGGCACTATACTACGATACCAAAATAATGTGTAATGGAATTCTGACATCTGTCATCGCTCAAAAATGTATAGAGATTTTCGAAGCTTACAGAAGGAAATGTTTCCAGTGACGGGCAATTTTAATGTTTTACAGGTATACGACAAATAATATAATACACATTTTTTTCAATTTAAGTGAGGTCTGTAATTGAAGGCCCATCATAGACATATAACCAAGATAGATTGGATTGTTTACAAAATTTCTGAAGCCAACACGGGTTCACTTTCTAAATAGTTGTTAATCTGGCTTTTCATTCATTATTTTACAGATTTAATTCGGAAACTTGTTTATCATATCACTGGTTCATCGCATAGGCATATAAAAATTTAAATACAAAAAACGTAGTTGCAATAAATTATTTGTAGATTTATATTTAACCATTTACTTTAAAACTGTTAGATTAACTATAATAATTGTGAATAAGCTGGCGTACTAAACTAATCGGAAAAGGCATTTTTAATGTTCTTTTATTTAGCATTATGTTGATTTCATTTTTCTTTACGAAAGGTTAATTTGATCAAAATATCACAAAGAAATAAAAAATGTATGTAAATGTGTACTTTCAACATAATAGAATAGAATCTAGTGTTAGAGACAGTGGAATTCGCCTTTTTTTGGGACTAATTTCATAATAAAAACGTAAACACGAACTTTACTAAAGGAATCTTTTATTTAAAATTCACTTTAGAGTTTCTTTAAAAGATAAACATTTTTCTACAAAATTTTACAATGTTGTATTGTTGATCATTATTTATTTATAACTGGAATAGGTACAAAAATAAATACATAAAACGTATACATAGGAGATAGGAGTTGGCAATTTAAAAACTTGCAATGGTTGTATCATAAACTAAAGATAATACTAGAAAATTAAAACCTAATAAAAACAATTTATTTTATACTTCTTAGCAACAGAAATATGTGACAAAAACAAGTACCTACGGAAAATGTAACAGTGTTTTAATTATTATTTATATATTTTAAATGTAAGCTACTTATTTTCTTTTTCTACATTATTTAAGTTTATTTTTGTTGATGTTGGTGGAGCATAGGGGGTTGATCGAAAGTAATTTATGTATTTTGTCATTTAAGTTCCCCTTTCGTATACTAGAACCGGCTTTAGACATTTGGTGATATTATCTTCAGTTTATGCGATATTAGATTTTTTTAATACGCAAGAAGCTTCTATTCAAAGGCATGTGGTTAAATAAATTGGAAGTGAAATTTATACCTAATGAAATTAGTAGTTATCCAAATTATTTGTATATTCAATAATAAATAGTGAGTTAAAATATAACATCTGTAAGTACTACTTTCACGAAAGAATAATATATTAAACAATCTTAACATAGTCAGTCTACTCTACAAAGTACTGAGAGTTCAAAATAAATATCTGTTATTTTTTTAATAAAAATAGTTCTCCAAAATAGTTGGACGTTATTTTCAAGTTCCCAACTTCACAGCAATGATAATTATCAATGATAAATTAAATTATGTTATGTCAAACATATCAAAATCATATTCTGCACGAAATTTTACTCATTTTGAGTACTCACTCGTTTATCATTGGTTATATGCATTTCGCAATTTAGTAGTCTACTTACTTGAAAATAATGTCCATCAATTTCGTTTGTACGATAACAATTTTTTCTCAAAATTCTACAGTGCATAGTTTCTGAAATACAGGCCATATCCTACAGCCAACGACAACCGGCGTCCTGTCTTAAGGTACGGTCTCTTTTGGGCGAGTAGTCGAGACGTTTAGACGCGGCGTTTAATCGTGCCTATAGGTTAAATAGTGATATCATAATGATGGTCTGATTTAAGCGGCAAGACGACGCGTCTTACGGCAAAATTGGTCATCAGTCAATTTAAACGCACACGTTTATTTAATCGCCTGCTATTGAGGCAAAATGGCAAATTCTCCAAAGATGGTACTGCCCCTTATTTTCCATATGCACCGACATCAATACATACAAATTTACATTCAGCGTCAATAATTGCCAGCAACACAATAGAAAAGAACGACTTGTAGTTGAAAAACAAGCTTCCCGAATTCTGTGGACAAACAATACGGATGTGTTTTCCGTCAATAGCTCCACAGCAATTTGTGGGAAATTCCATTTTGCGCTAAACTGAGCAGCTATTTTAATATAATCTTCTTTCGACGGTTGTTTTAAGAAAACAGGCACTAACCTGTTATAAAACACTTTTAAAACATCTCGTACCAATACACTAATGTAATTATGGGAAATTCGATAATTAAATTCCATCGAACGATAGGATTCTCCTGTAGCCAAGAACCTAAAAACTTAAAAAGAAAATACAGTTCTACATATTTCTAGAGGCATTATTCTCAACATGAAATACCTTAACACCAAAGCAAGCTTTTCCATTGCTGTAATTGGCCTTTAACGCATCTAGTAGAATTTTTTTTTATATCAATTGATGCAATATTTAACAGTTCATTAAAATGACTTTTGGTAAACCTAAAGTATTCTTTGAATGTAGTTTCGTCATCAATTAAATGTCTCATTATTAGCGTACTAAAGCACCCTTCCTTTTTTCTTTGAACAAACATTTTATGAACCTTTCTACGCTTTTTTGCATTAATAATAATAGCAAAATGTCATCGTCTTCTGCTTTTTCCATAAGCAACTGTGCTGCAATCACGTTCTCACTAGTAAAAATACTAATTGGCGACTAGTCGATTACTGGAGGTGAAGATGTAAACAGACCACTAGGTGCGATCAGGTGCGTCTAGACGTAAGCGATTAAACGCCGCGGCTAAACGTCTCGACTACTCGCCCAAAAGAGACGTACCTTTATTTGGACACTCGGTACTTTAAAAAAACAATAACAGCCGTATGCATAGTCGATCGCCAGCGACTCGCCAGAGATTCATTTCGGCGCATCGCCAGCGATCCGCCGGCGAAAGCCCAAAAAGGTGGCGACTCGCTGGCGATCGACTATGCATACGGGTGTTAGTATCTGCTAAACTGAATTAAGAATTAAAAAATCGATGATATTAAATATTTACTGAAAAAGTTAATCAAAATTAAAAATTTCCATTTAAGACGGATACGCCTATGCATGTTTTCAATACAGCTAGCGGATAATGACGAGCTGACCGCCATGTTACGGCAACATAATCGGTTCTCTCCGATTTAGACAAAGAAAAGATTTAGGCCTTGGCTTAATAACAAATACACTTTTATCAATGACTAGTTGGAGATGTGAGGCCCATTTCCACACCACCGAGGTATTACCGTGGCGCGTTATAAGTGTTGGTTTGCCAGTAATAATATGTTATGGAAATGAATAGGAAGTAGCATGTACCGTGCGCGAGACAACAAAATAGGTCATGCGCTGCTGAGTTGTATTTGTTTCATGCGTGGTCATATTATAGCTTGTCCAATTCATAAAATGAAATAGAGGGTATATGTTCGAATTTCCATCAAAGGAAAAAGAGAAAAGCTCAATCTTGTCATGTTTCTGTGAGCTCTTCTCGTTTTCCCTTGTTTATTTTTAAATTGGTCACCTATCAGAATTTGAATTTATGTTTTTGTTACTTTATTCATAGCTATTATGATTAACATATACTCAGAAATGTATCTAAGTATCCTTCATTTTTATATTTTAAAACTGAGATTTTATGTAGTTTTTATTAGTTGGTAAAATAATTAATTTTTTCCCTAATTGCGATATCTACGAATTTCCTTTTCTTATTTTCTACGCCAAACAAAGATTTCCTTTCTTTCAAAAACGAAAATGTTGCCACCTCATCTACTATATAACCTGGAAAATGTTCGCGAATACCATAATATACATTTTTTATATTCCGCTTTCGAAAAATGATCCCGTTTTGCAGATCGGTTTTGATACAATTGGGTAACTCCTAATTCTTTTTTAAAAAGGTTCAAAAGGAAAACAATAAATAAAAATACCCGCGATCACCCTATTATACCGAATACAGCCACGCCGCTGTTCCTTATCAGAGACGACGTGACACGTTCATGAATTCGACGATGTATTGTCATAGTTTTTGTTTCATTTTATTACAAACTGAAAGAGTGAATTTGGTTTAAGATATGTAGCAACGAACTACAAATTGAACCAGCCAGGGAGTCAATTCTCGAAATATTCGTTCACCGAGCGTACCCCGTTCATGACGTCATGAACGAGAATTTCTTATTAGTGCAATCCTCGAATCAATTTTAGTGAACGTGTCCGTTCATATTAATCGCTCGTATGTTTGTTCGACAGAGTGGTCGGGAGACGTCGTTCAACAGTTCATCGATTTTCGTTCAGTTTCAGTACGTGTATCTGTAACGTGTTGAGGGTGGGTTACCCCCACGGCACTTAGGCCTCATTAGGCCTAGTGTGCATCCTCCTAAGATGATAGGCACCTCCTAGCTCGTGAGCCAGCCTACAGATTTAATGTAGTTGACAACGTCGCCAAAAGGTGCTTCTCTTATATCGGCCGGTGTTAGCCGATACTCGCCGAACACCAATCTTCTAATAAATGAGAGCGTCGAGCAATCGTAAAGGATATGCTCGATGGTCTCATCTTCTTGTTCGCACCCTCTGCAGAGTGCAGATTCTGACAGCCCCATGATATGGAGATGCTTCCCTACTTGGCAATGACCAGTCAGAATGCCTGTGACCAGGCGCAGATTCTGTCTAGTCATAGTCAAGTATTTGTTTGCTGCAGTGTTGTCAGGACAACTTAAGAGCTCCCTGGCAACTCTGCAGTTTCTTGTTTCATCCCATTTTTCCTTGAATTTTACAAGGGAATGTTCTTTAATTAGGTCTGTCACTACCGATTTTGTCAGGCCAATAGAAGGGCCAGGCCCAAAAAATATTTGGTTAGTTGCTTTCTTGGCTAGTGAATCGGCAAGACGGTTACCTTTCGATGTGGCGTGACCTTTGATCCATATTAAGGTGACCACATTGTTGATGGATACTTCGGCCAAAGCTTCGTGACATTCTAGTACTAACCCTGAATAAATTCGTGGTCTGTTCAGGGCGAGTAGTGCTTGTCTGCTATCTGTATAGATGAGCATGTTCCTTCAATTTAACAGACGAAGCAACTTTGTGCAGGTTCTGTGAAGAAAAATCTTCGTCCTGTGCCAGTGTGCAGGCCTGGCAAGATTGAGGTTTCTAACGAAGAAAAACCAAACGCATGGAACTACATACGGGAAAGCTACTAAGTCTAATAAAAAAGACCAAGCTAGACGACATACTCATGCAAACTGTTAGTACCTAGTACCCCACTTTTAAAGTTTTATTATATTTATAGGTAAAGGTTAAATATGTGTTTCTCTGGAACCACATTTCTAAAGTTTTATTCAGTGTTTTTTTTATTGAGAGAATCGTAAAAAACCGATTTTTTTTTTTAAAACAAAACCAAAATTTGAAAACAAAACCAAAATTTGAAAAAGTGGGTCCAAAGTAACCCGGATTTAACCTTTATCTATGTATCTAGTTTTTCTTTAACTAAAAATTAAAAATAAACTTAAGACTGGGGTAGTAGCTAAGGTGTTGCATGGTTATGTTTCATATTAGAAAGAGACCACTGCCAATTTTTGGACGACCTAAAAGGCAATATTAATATCTGCAAGTATCCATAATAAATTGTTTGATTTTTATTACTTTTATAATAATTTCCTTTAATTTTTGGCAACCTCAAACTGAGACCATTTACTTTGTAAACTACATATTCTAATGTGGCGAATTAATTTTATAGGATAATCGTGAAAGTAAAATATGTTTTGTTAAACTAATTGAGTGGTCACTTCGTGATATTAAAGCAAAAGAATGTACACACCACAACAAATGTAATCTCATTTGAAACCCATATTGATTTGCGGTTTGGACGTAATGGTAACCTTCAGAACGAAAAAAGAATACTGAAAACCACATGGATTGAGGAATTAAGAAAAAAACGTCTCAAAGAGACGGGATGGATGGAAATAAGTGGACTGGGAACCAGAAGGCGTATGACATAATAAATTGGAAATATATAATTAATTGTGAAATGTTACAATTAATTAATATAAATATAAAACTGCCGTATACGTATAGTCTAAAATCTTACCTCTCCACTTTTCAACTGGCAAATTCATGTCTTCAATACTTTGATCGTAAGGCCCCGAAGTGGGTTCATCGTTTGGGTCGGCGTAAGATGCAAGGTAGGCGTGCGCTAATGCTTGTTCGGCGGTTATCCTTCTCTCACTATCGAGCTCTAACATAAGGCCAAGTAATTCTATTGCTAATGGATTCGCACCGACTATGAACAGATGCAAGTCTTTTTTAGGCATGTGTGGAAGCGATCTGATATAATTTCGTGCCTAAAATATATTTGAAAAGTTATTCTACATCAAAATTAATATAAGTACAACTTAATGTCCACTAATAGAATCGACGACGTGTTAACTTACGCTTTCTGACGTAATTTTTTGCATGAATTCTTCACTAGGCGTTCCCAAAATTTCCATAATAAGGTTGAGCTGATGAATATCTAAGAAATGTTCAGGAACATAAACAGAGTTGATTTTAAATACGATAATTATGGCCGATTTTAAGTTGAAAAGTTCGTAATTAATATTCCAGCAATGTGCGATTTTTTCCACAAAATATTGTACATGACCTATTATTTTATATTATTAAAGATATTATACGAGCTGATATTGATATCTAGTTAATCTGGAAACGTACTAAACAATATTAAATATAATCTGACTGCAAAAAGTGGCACATCGTTTTTATATACGTAGTTGGATACAGAGGAGGGGTGAACAACATGTATTATGTCCCGATAGAGGGAGCGGTCATGTGACCTATGAAACTCCAAGTAAAGTTGCTTATAGATTTTTTCGTTTTTTTTTTTCTTTTAAACGTCTATTACAATAAAAAACCTCTTTACAAGCATTTACTGTCGTCCGGTTTTGCTACTTCCAGTGTAGGGATTTCGGCCACATGACCGGATATTTACGTTTTTCAACGAAATTAGGGATTCAGCTTAAACACATTTTTTTTTAATCTAATATGAAATTGCAAGCTTTTTTTGTCATAATATGACCTGTCTTTTAAACACACAACCAAACTTATATGGAATCATCTATTATTTTTCATAATTTTTGAGATGTATAAACATTTTTTGTTCATGAATAAAACAACTCACTCCTTACCAAAGACTTTTAATGACAAATAACCCACATAGCAATAAAAATAATTAATTAGTTGACAAAATAAACACAATGGTATTTTTTTGGTTTCTGAAACGAAATGAGATTTAAATTTTTAATAGCCGAAAAGCAAAAACAGAAAGAAAATTGGTAATTTTAACAATCCGTGTTATGCAAGCTTCTATTCGCCTTGACATGCTTCTTATTAAATTGTCAACATTGTCTTGGGGTATGTTTCCCCATTCTGCTAATGCTGCATCAATAAGCTGTGCGACATTTCCTGCATTGTTTCGACGAGCTGGTCCCTCAAGTGTTCGATAGGATTTAGGTCTGGTGAACATGCAGGCCAGTCTAAAACTGTGACACCTTCTGTTTCAAGATATTCTGTAGCCACTCTGTTGGTATGGGGAGGTGTATTATCGTGCATAAAAATAAAATTATCCCTAATTGCAGCTCTCCAAAGCCTTACGATTAGTTCTAGCACTAAATCAACATATCTCGGACCGGTTAGAGTTTGTTGAAGTGGAAACAATGGAGTTTTTGCTTCCAGCATAATACCTGCCCAAAACATTACAGTTCCTTTTTGATATCTTGGGACATATCTGGCAGCGTGGAGTGTCGCTCATCTTCCTGGAGTTTTGAGAACCCGAATTCGATGGTCATCTGATCTTAGGCCAATTCTGGTCTCATCCAAAAAAAGAACATTTTGCCAATTCTCAATTGTCCAGCTTTGATGTTGGAGGCACCAATTTAGCCGGTCAATTTTATTTTGCCTAGATAACGGTGGGACACGGAACTCTTTCTTACCGTACAAACCTCGTGCGCGAAGTCTTTTTCTTAGAGTTTCAATTGAAACGTTCACACCTGTAGCTTCCAGACGTTGTCGTTGTAGCTCTAGATGAGAAACACTGGAATTTCGTCAAGTAAATTGGCACACAAAGCGGTCCTGTTGTTCAGTTGTGACTCTTTGACTACTTTGTATGGGCCTGTTTTTGAGATTTTCTAGTTCCAAGTACCTTTCATATGTTTTTGATAAAACACTCTGGGTATCGCTTACTACCTCTGCTACGTCTCATTGGGGCATTCCTTGTTCAATGAGAGCAATAATTATCACCCCTCTGCATATATGTTAGTCCAATATAAGGCATTTTGTTGTTTTTTGGACCGAAATAAAATTACCGGAGAATCGTGATGTTACTTCTGAACACAAAATTTACAAGGTAATAAATCTCAGCAGTCGTTTCTTCTTTACTATCATGTTTGTTAAGAATAAAAGGCCATATCTTATAGTTAGTTACCAAATTTTTTTCCTTACAAAACGTTTATTCAGAAATACACAGTGATTCGATACACGACGAATTATCATTGGCAAATTTAAATTTAAATAAATTATGGATGAATTACAATTACTACGAGAGGAGATTGAAAAAAGCAAAAATGAAATAAAATCTTTTATTGAAGCATCAGAAGTTAGATTAGCATTAAAAATAGAAGGCTTGAAGGACAAGATTAATAACTTAGAAGTTGAAAATACGATATTAACAAATAGAGTTGAAGTATTGGAAAGAAAAATTAAGAGAAACAATATTCTAATATTTGGATTGGATTCGCAAAATTTTTCCCCAACGTATATTTCACAAGAAATAAAAAACTTACTAGGTGTGGAAATTAATGTCACTGATATTAATAACGTATATCCACTAAAATCTGGTTCCGCAATTAAAGTTGAATTTATAACATTTACAAAAAAATTAGAGGTGCTTAAAAACTGCAAAAAATTAAAAGGAACTAGAGTATCGATTTCTAGTGATCTTACCTACGATCAAAGAACGGAAAATAAAAAACTTAGGTCATTTTTAAATAAAGCCAGACAAAACCCGAATGTGAAGTCGTATATTAAGGGAAACAAGCTATTTATTGCTGACAGACCTTTCACCGTTGATGAACTTGAAGAACAAGAAAGAACTTTGGAAGAAAGGCAAGTGAGTAGTGCTCCGACTACACCAACAATTGAAAAACAAAAAGCAGTTGCATATCTTGAAACAGGAGACGTCGAATCTGAGAGTGAATGTAGCCAAGTTGATCAAGCTGAGCAACCAAAGAAAAAGGAACAAATCGTAGAATCAAGAAGAAACGAAACAAAAGTCCAAAATAAAAATAAAAATAAACCGACAGATGTAAAAGAAACACGAAGTAAAAATCAAAATCAATCACCACTAGTCGGCAAGCTGTTTCTAAACAAAAATATAAACACTGGATCTGGACGAGGATTAAGATCTAATTCAAGTAGTAGTAACAAGTAGTAATAGTAATATGCCGATTAAATAATTTCTGCTAGAATTTATTTTCATATACATAGTTTGCTGGATTATAATACGATTTTAATATTTTAGTAAACTGAGAATTTTATTTAGATAGTCTAGTGATAGTCTAGATTAGAATTCTAGTAACTGTAGTTTTAAATTTTACCTGTTAATTTATTTAGGTTGTACAATTAAAATTTTAAATATTTTTAGAATGGATAAATATATTCGAGAGTTTGAGGCGAGAAAGGTTGAAACGTATATACTCAATACGTCACAAGAATGTAAAGAAATATTGAAGGTAAATAATAATGAAAACTTTAAAATAATTCATATGAATATTAGAAGTATACAAAAAAACTTGGATGAATTCAAAATATTTCTGACTAGTCTAGATGACCAGGTAGATTGTATTGTACTCACCGAGACAAGAGAAGTACTCGATACATCATTGTTTACACTTCATGGTTACGATTTAGTTTACAATGAGGGCCGATACAACCAGAATGATGGGGTTATAGTTTATATAAAATCACATTTATCTTTTACATCGAAAATAGAGAAATTCTATAACTCTAATTTATTAAATATTACAATAAACTGCAGCGGTCGAAATATAAATATTTTAGCTCTGTATAGATCACCAGCCACTAATATAGATAATTTTAACATATCACTTCAAGAACTTCTCGAAGATCATGATAAATTGGTGATTGATTACAATATTTTTATAGGAGATATAAACATAGACACTTTAGATACAAAAAATAAAACAGAAAATCATGTGTTCGAATACTTAAGTATATTGAACCAATTTGGGTATGTATCAACTATTAATGTCCCAACGCGAGTTCAGGGAAACATGAAATCATGCATCGACCATATTTTTACTAAAACTAATTTTGATGTATTAAATAATATATTACCCATAGTTATTAAATCAACAATCACCGATCACTACACTACAGTTTTACAAATAGTCTTCCCAACAAATAATAATAGATCTAAACAGAGCCCTGAAAAACATAAAAAATATATAAACTATAAAAAACTAAATTCTATTTTAAGCAATAACTCTTGGTTAAATATTTATACAAAAAACAGTATAACAGAAGCAGTATCCGAGTTTATAACTACATTATCACAAACAATAGCCGAATGCACAGTTACTAAAAAAATTTCCAGAACACAAATGAAACTTACTCCATGGATTACTAATGGCTTGCTGAATTCTGTAAACAAAAAAAATTCGATGTATAAGTCTCTGCTAAAGGATCCCAATAATATCAATTTAAAGCACGAATATAACAATTACAAAAATAAATTAACATCTCTAATACAAAAGGCTAAATTTGCTTACTATAAGAACAAAATAGACAATAACTCTAATAATTCCAATCAATTGTGGAAAATAGTAAATGAGGTAAGTAAAACAAAAATTAATAATACAAAAATAGAATCAATAAAGATAGAAAATGAAAAATATATAACCGAACCCTTAGATATTACTAACGAATTTAATCGCGTCTTTTCTGGTACAGGTAAAAAATTAGCAAATAAAATTAAAAAAAATCCTAACTATTCAATAAAAACAAAAACTCTTCAAAACTCATTCTTCTTAAGATCTACTGATGTTGTGGAATTAACAAAAACAATTAAAGAGTTGAAAAACAAAAAGTCACCAGGGATCGATAACATCCGTGCAGAAACGCTTAAACAAATATCTGAGCATATTGTTACACCACTGGCATATTTATTTAATAAATGCTTGGAGTGTGGAGTATGGCCTACAGATTTTAAAGAATCTATTGTTACACCTCTTTACAAGAAAGGAGATAAATTGTGCGTCGAAAACTATAGACCAATATCCCTCATTACTCACTTGTCCAAATTGTTTGAAAAAATTGTACACTCTCGTTTAACATCTTACTTAACGAAATACGATATTATTTCAAACAGGCAGTTCGGCTTCCGCGAGAAAAAGTCTACTCAAGATGCTATTCTAACCCTCTTATCCAAAATGTATTCCTCACTAAATGACTCAAACCCAAGCCTATGCATATTTTTAGATTTGTCGAAAGCATTCGATACTGTTAGCCACCCATTGTTACTCAATTCTCTCGAAGACATAGGGATAAGAAGTACACCTCTAAAATTGTTTGAAAGCTATCTATCAAATAGACAGCAGAGAGTAAGAATAAATGGAGTATCAAGTAGCCCTCATTCAATTGAGTATGGTGTTCCACAAGGTACCGTACTAGGGCCCACACTTTTCAATATATATATAAATTCTTTATTTTCCCTAACTAGTACGGGACAGATAATCGGTTTCGCTGATGATACAGTTATTTTTTATGAGGCAAAAGATTGGTACGAACTGAAAATTAAAGCAGAAACTGACTTCTTAAATGTAAAAAACTGGATGGACCATAAGCTTTTAACAATTAATTTAGATAAAACTAATTTCTTAGCTATAAGTCCTAGTGTTTGTGATTGTCCATCCTTCAATCTTGAAATTCCTTGCAAAGAAACTTATGTAATTAAAGCTGTAAAAACAGTAAAATACTTAGGAGTTACGATCGACTCAAACCTTAAATGGATAGATCATATAAAACAATTAATAAAAAAACTACAATTCCTTTTATATAAATTTCGATATTTAAAAAAAATATTACCTGTGCCACAGCTACTTGTCCTTTATTATGCTCTCGTGGAAAGTCACTTGCGATATGGAATAACATGCTGGGGAGCGGCCGCAAAGTCTCACATACAACCAGTAGAAATCATACAAAAAAAATTTTTAAAACTAATATTAGGTAAAAACTCTAGATACTCAACTGAAAAACTATATAAAGATACAAAAATGTTAGATATAAGACAATTATATTATTATAATGTATGTATTAGGCACCACCAAACCGCTAATTTTGTGGAGTTAATACACACCTACGACACTCGAAGAAAAAATTATAGTAGGGTACCTCAAATGCAAATGACAATCACACAAAAGTCATATGTCTTCTTGGCTCCGACTATGTACAATACAATCCCTGAAACAATCAAAGAAATTAATAGTATTTCCATATTTAAAAAACTTTTAAAAAAATTCATTATTAACTTACCAAGAGAAAAATTCCACAATCTTATTGATCTTAAAATTTTTACATTATAGACGATTAATAACTGTAAACCTTTCTCTCACACATTCTTTTTTTCCATTTATATAATTATTTTAATGTCATTTTTATATTTTTATATTTTTAGTTTTAGAATAATTATTATTATTTGATTTATATATATATAAATTTAACGAACCCAATTTTTTCCTATGAGCTCGACACAAGTGTTTTATACACTTCCAGAGTCTCTACCAACTTTATTTATTTACAAACAATTTTATATGTAATTATACACTATTGTATGTACCGTTATATATTCTAAATAAAGTTATTATTATTATTATTATTAAGTTTGGTTGTGTGTAGGTGTAAAATTGGAATCAAAAGTCGAAAAGTGGTTTAATTGTTATCAATGTTTGTATGACTCTCAACTAAGAGTATGGCCCTAACAAGAATTTTTTATTCAGTAGTCCTACCCCATTCGCTATAAATTAGACAATTTTGAATTTTTTTTCTAAAAAACCCAGGGTAGATATAAGGTTGAACTACTGAATAAAAAAATGTTTGCAAGGACAATACTCTTAACTAAGTCATACAAATATTTTTAGAGCAATTAAACCACGTATCAACTTTTGGTTCCGATTTACACCTATTTCAAGGCTACATTTTTTATATATCAGCCCTTTGGCAGACAAAAAAAATGCTTCAATTATCATCTTAAGTTCAAAAACCCCGTTTAAGCTGTATCCCGAATTTCGAAGAAAAACGTAAGTATCCGGTTACGTGTTCAAAACCCCTACACCAGAAATAGTAAAACTGGACGACATAAAATGTTTGCCATTGTTATCGACGTCTAGAAGTATATATTTCATGACCAGCAAAAACCGAAAAAATCATCCAAGCAACTCTGAATACTACAGCTCCCACCACCGGGACATAGTACATGTTGTTCGCCTCCTCCCCTGTAACAGACTATAAATAGCAAGAAAAAAAAACAATACGTGCCACTTTTTGCAGTCAGATGAGGGACCATCACGACTTGAATATGAGAACGCCTTTGGCCAAATGAATTCCGAAATGCCTGAATGTTGATCAGAAGCCTTTTCATTAAATCAAATTTGTTTCATATGTTCATATTTCTGCTTAGATATGTTAAATAAAAGTACATTTACTTTAAAAAATATATTTTTTATACGCGATTATCAAATTATCAAAATCATTCGACACCATTTGAAAAAAAAATTTGAAAACTTGATAATTCAACATAAACAGAAAAAAAACACTTAATATATATAAATACATTCTATTAATTTGAAAATTCTTCATAGTCGGTAAATGCAAAATCCAAACTAGAGTCACTAATGTCACCATTATTACCTGAATTATCATTATCGAAATCTTGTATATTTGGAGAATTTAACAAATTAATTACTTCTTTTGAAAAGAATTCAGTTTTCGTTTTCGATAACTTCCTCTTGTTGGAGATTACAGGATCTGAATTTATTAAAGTCTTTGTTACGATTTCTTGTGTTTTTTAGAATTTAGTAATTTTTGTAAGTCTTTCTTAATGGTCATTTGTGCTTTTTAGAAATGTTTCCTCGCCTATACATAATCATTTCCAACGCAACTTAAATCCTGACTTAATATAGGATATTTTATTTAATTTATTGAAGTTATTTTCAATAATTTAGTTCGAATTTTATTGCTTCAGTTAAAAAATTAAACTGTTCAATATTTTGGCTTCCACAACTTCTTATACGAAAATATTGTTACATGTCGTTGATTGAGTTAAGATGCTAAACTTTTTTATGGTTTTGAATTGGTTGACTCTTCCTATTCTCCGGATTTATTATTTGACAAAGGAAAATATTCCAAACCCAAATGTGACCAAGATGTCACAAAACATACGAGTGACCGTTTCCCTACAGAAAACAAAATACTCCTTCGGCTAATACCCCGACAGGCATCCTATAATGAGATAGATAAAAAATAATTTTCAACACTCTTATTTCTTGAATTATTATTTCTTCCCAAAACTTAAGAAACATTAAGATTTTGATAAATAATTATAAAATGGTGGTTTGCAGGCCAAAACAAGGAGGCCCTTACAATTTCTTTATGAACGTTGTGTTAAATGTGTAAGCGTTAAAGAAAATTTTGTTCAATCATACAAATTTGAGTTTGAACATTAAATTATTTTAGGTTACATTTAATCTTCAAATTATTTATATTGTTTTTATTTATATATATATTTTTTTTTAATCAAAATCTACTAAATTGTGAATAAATAGTCTGGAATTGATCGCAAGTCAATTTTTTCTTCTGTTTTAAATCAATAATTTGAAATGTCTTTAAAAAAATTTCGGGAATGTTTGAATGTAATCGCGGAGCCATAGAATAGCGCCCTTTGACCTATTTCTCTTTTGCTCGATGTTGAATATTATGCAATTCGTTTATGTTTTATATGATACGTATGCGTAATATTTTTATTATTTTTGCTGACGAATATCAAACGTACCCTTCAATGATAAATTTCTCATGAAAGTATTTTTTTTGGAAATATAAAAAAAAATAATTCAATAAAAGCAATAAATATGTTCCTTTTTATGAGACAAATTATTTATTTCCATAATTGCATGTCATTTATTTAACAAGGTGTATTTTAAATAATTTAATCGTATTTTGAGTAATAATATTAAAACTACCAATACATAGTTAAAAAATATAAACGCCTTCATGTTTTTAATTATTTTGTGGCAATACCTTTAAAAATCATTTTCACCTCATAGTCCCTGTGAAAAAATATTCACACGTCGCTGATTTATAAATTAAAAACTTTTCAACTTCCATGAAATGTCGGAACATACTTAAATACACGCTGTATATAATATCATTAATGGGTGAGTTTAATTCAATAAATAATTCAAACTTCGCACAATTTTAATTTGAAGCATATTTCCACTACCAATTATATAATTTTTAAAGTATTAATAAACTATAATTAAAGCTAGATTTCCAAGGCTAACAAGAGTAAAATTTTCTACATTTAATAAAATCGGTTAAAATTTTATGCGCGCTTTACGCCTAACAACAATTTCTTCATGAAAATTTCCTGAAGTCACTTCATAACGAAAATGATAGATGTAAAGCCAAACTTCAAGTGAATGAATTCATGAATTTCTACACGGACTTCTTCACGTTAAATAGAACATGTTCCATTTTAGTCTGAACTTCAGAAGTACTAACGTACCAAACAACCAACCTAAATACTAAACGGACATTCTGTCATCATTGCGTTTACGAGTTAGAAAACGATTTTTTAAAGGATACGATCTGTTCCAGGAAACAATGTCTTTCCTGTTAATAATTCAGCCATTATACACCCTACTGACCAAATATCTACAGTTTGGTTATAGTGCATCCAATTTAACATAATTTCTGGTGCCCTGTACCATCTAGTTGCCACATAACCAGTCATTTCCGTTTCTGTAGGCCGAGCCAACCCAAAGTCTAATATTTTCAATTCGCAGTCTTCATTTACAGCTATATTCGAAGGTTTTAAGTCCTGAAAACAGTATATTTTTAGCAAATTGATTTTGTAAAATATTTAGATTGTAGAGTGATTACAACATATCCCTCATCAAGAGCAATAGTGGCACAACTAAAAATCATAAATACATTTAGAATGAAACGTTAAATTTAATACCTTTTTTTCGAGGAATACTAGCACAATTTTAGTTTTCAAATATTCCTGAGATGGCGACTGTCACTAAAGCATCATAATAAGTTTTGTATTTAAGCTGCACCAATAGTGGCACATAATCAGTTGTGCCGAAAAATAGTGACATAATATTTTTAAATATGTCAGCACTTATAGACTTTACATTTGAAGTATTTTATTTAATTGTGCCTATATTAACTTGAATTTTTTTTTATTTATTATGCTCACAATTTGAAATTCCCTTACAAATACCCAAATTGATGTACTTAAATATAAAAGAAAAATGTTTATTTTCCTGTTTTTGTATTTTTATAAATAAATTTAATGAATTAATGGAAAAGTGTCACAAATTTTATTGTCTCGTCAACAGTGGCACATCTTATTAAATTCAATTAAAATAACAAATTCCTAGTAAAATCAACAAAATTTTTAAACTTAATTTTTTTCAACTTTACTGTTTTTGAGATGTGCCATTATTGCCGTCCGTGAGCGATATGTATCATCCAAAGATAAAACAAAATAGCTTGGATGACACTATACTTAGGACAAGTGATGCAGAACTAGAGCTAGTAAAAAAGTACATTATTACTAAAATTAGACAGATAATGAACTTTGTCAAGATCAGCAGGCCATAAATTATGTACTTACTCGATGTATAACGCCTGCAGAATGTATGTACTTGAGCCCACGAAGAATTTGATATACTAAGAATTGCACGTGATCATCTGTTAGTCTTTGTGTCCTAATTATGTTATTTAAATCAGCTCCCATAAGATGTGTAACTAAATATATCTGAAAATTAAATTATTTTGGGTGGTCTAACCTTGGAAATGATCTTAAGGTATAAGTTGGCAATTCCATGTAATAAAAACTTATTAACCAAAATTGGATTTACAAAATTATAAATAAAATTATTTAATTAAGAAGATCATACGAAGTAGCTCTTATGTGTAGCTATTTATTTTTGGCTTTTTTACAACCAGTTTATGTTATTTCACACTCATTTCCCTCAATTATCTCAAAATATTGCAATAAAATCCCAACGACAGGTATCTCATGTGACATATGCAAGGCACAATTTGAGGTTTGTATAGCATTTGTAAGGTGACGCAGCACAGCGTGTGCTTTTGTAAACTACAGGATTGAATAGACCGTCGCTTTTTTGCCAATTTACGCCGATCTATTCAATCGTGTAGTTTACAAAAGAACGCGCTAGGTGCGTCACATCACACGCGCTTTACGTGTCTTAATTTGCGCATTGCCTTAAAGTTGATGTTGTTTTTTTAGGGACATAGCCCATTATGTACCGCTTAGGATCATCTGTGGCTGCTTTTTGCAACACATTGCACATCTGGACAAAATTCTGCGTCCCATTCACCAGAATGCATATGTTCTGTGTGACGAAACATCTTTAATAGCCTGTCTTCTAAGCATTTTCTTTTCTTTAGTAATTAGATATATAATTCAAATTGCAATCATTTAAAAATCACCAAACCTTTTTAGATACATGTATTGATTATTTACAAATCATGAAAACACATTTAAATGTACTTTTCGATAATCGACATCTAAAGTAGGCTTTTTCGCTTTCAAATTTCAACAAAGTCACAGAACTAAAATAAGTAGAATGGATTTGATATTTGAAAGTTTAGTAAACGTTCCTACAATACTCTGTATTAGTGATGATTAATTTGCGTGCTAAACAAAGTTGTTAATAGGTTAAATATCTAGTTTTTGAACTATTATTATTTCATGGATTTGACATTTGATAGTTTAGTAAACGTTCCTACAATACTCTGTATTAGTGATGACGTAATTTGTGTGCTAAACAAAGATGTTTATATGCAGGGGCGTGCGGTCCATAGAAGCGGGGGAAGCACCGCTTCCCTACACTTTGAGATTTAAAAATATATATTTTTCAGTTTACAATGCATAGAAATTAATATTAAATTAGGTACTATATTTTCTCTGAAACATTACGTAAACTTCGTAAATGTACTAACAATTCATTGGTGTAATGTGTAAAAGCACGCACCACCTATGAGAAAATTAATTGTGTAAACGCACACACCATATAGGCATCGTATATAAAATACATATATGAATGATGATATAGGTACTTCGAGTCCGTCGGCGGAAGCGCGTCTTAAAAGCCGTTTCATCTTCCTTTACACTTTTTTCAAGACGTTGATTTCAATTTTTTGATCAATATTTTTGTAGAGATTTTCCCTTTTACTGACATTTTATTCGACATTTTACAGACAAAGTCAAATGACATTGGCTTTTGCATTAAACAAATTGATGATTTTAAATATAAAATATATAAAAAACTAGATCAGTTTGAACACTTTTGGAATAAGGCTCAAAACATTGGCTTAGAACCTGAAAGAAAGAGAATTAGAATTGATAATGTCGGCGACAGAGACTTTCTATCGTCGATTGTACGCCGAAATTTTTGATAATATTTTACAACAAATGAACTCTCGATTTCAAAATTTTAACGAATTAAAATTTGTTGAATTATGCAATTTTAATATTAGTAACTACGATTCATCAAAAAGTCCCAGTTAAGTGATGTTTATGGAACAGTTGAAATTAGTCATAAAAAGACGCTCATCAATGTGTTAAATTTTCTTATAACTGGTTTAAATAAGTCCCTTTGTGAAGTCGTCAAGTTTTATACGAAATTCAACAAGTGAAGACAGACTCTCTAATTTAGCCCTAATATCTATTGAAAAACAGCTTGTTAAACAGTTATCAGAAAATCCAAAATTTTACGAAGATGTTATAGACAAATTTGCAGCCATTGAGGATAGGCGAATAGATCTTAAGTATTATAAATAAATGTCAACTACTGTGGTTTTTTTACGTTTAAATAAAGCAAGGAAGCTTTTCAATGGTAAGTTTTTTTTATAGCTTCTAGTACTAAACTAGGTAATAATGTAATAGTAACACTTCAAAAATTTCAATCTCGAATATCCGTAGTACTGAGGAAAAAAAGTAAGATTTTGACTAAATGGTGAATGCGCCGCGAAAAATTTTCGCCTGCGACGCTGTGCTTACTGGCCTGCTGTATTTTTATACAATCGCTTCCCCTTCCAAAAATATCACGGCACGCCACTGTTTAGTGGTAATTCTATAACGAATATGTTAAAATTTAACGGGCGTTAAAAATATAACGTATGTTAAATATGAGAAGCAATTCTGTAAATTCATGAAAAATTTTAACTTGTCATAATTAACATAATAGTTCATTTGTGCCGCAAAAATCTATTCTACAAGCAGAAATGTGTTAAAAATTTAACATAAATGTGTTAATTGTATTCGTTATATCGAGGATATTAACATGTACTAATTAGTAGGCTTTAAAACTTAACATATAAGAAATTATGACTTTTAATTGTTTAACTCAACTTATAATGCAAGAAAATCATGAAATGAACCATTTTGTAAGTACTCAAGTAATTTTAACAGTTGAAACTACACAAATTATATATTTAGAAATTATATATTATTTATAGTGTACATATATTTTTTGTAGTTAGTAATTGATTTGCCGTAGAAAGGTACTATTTATAAGGTTATTGGGGTTAGTTTTCTTTGTATTGAAAATTGATGGCCTACCAAATAGTTTATAAAGTACATTCGGCCGCTACTTTTTTCAATATTCTTGTGCAAAAACAATAAATGTGACAGAAGGAATGACATTTATTTGACAGACCTTAAAACTTAACCATACTTTTATTGCAAATTTGAACTACTTCTAACGTATGTTAATTTTTTTGGAAATTTAACGTATGCGTTAATTTTATTTTTACAGAATTACAATTTATGTTAAAATCGTAAAATGTAACACCCGTTAAAAATAAACGTATTGAATTACAGAATTACCACTTTTATATGTTAAATATCTAGTTTTTGAACTGTTATTATTTCATTTAAGTGTTTTTAATGTATCACTCAATACTCAAATAGTTTTTGTAAAAATTTTATTCTGATAGTAATAACTGTAAAGCTAACTTTTGGGAAGGCGCGACCGAGATCGACTTTAAGCGTAAAACGACAGCGTCTGAACACATGTAATTATATGATATTTGGAAAGGCGGGACGGACGACAGCAGTTTTAGCACGGTATGATTTGCCGCTTGCTGCCTGTCGCTTGAAGTCGGTCTCCGTCTAGCCCTCCCAAATGGTACCTTTAAGATGAAAAAAAAAAAAACGAGTTTCATAATTCTTTTTTAAAATTTAGACTTTTACGATGCAGTTAATGTGTTGACCTATTAAAATAACGGATTAGAAATAAATGCATAAAAAATTGCATAGTTTATGAATTTCTGTACATATATTTATTATAGGATTAAAAAACTACAAAATAAAAAACAATTATGTATAGTTGTGATTGATTTAATTTTGAAAAAATATTGTTGAATTTGATCAATTTAAAATGCAAGCCTCCCATTAAAAATGGATTGGATTTGACTAGGTATTTCACTTTTATAGTCAAGGTCAAAATACTTGGAATGTTGACTGGTATGGGTGCCAAATTGTTTTGAAATCTCCTAATTTTAATTATGAATAAACAAGTTTCCCGTTCTACAAATAATAACAAAAATAATTACTAGAGATTGACGATATATAATGCTAAGCACATTACTCTTCACAGTTTAACAGACCCTCATTTTTAATATATTTTTTTAGAATCAATAGACTTCGTCCCCTTATAGAGCTTGATTTTCCTCATGATTTCAAGTTGATATCATTTTTTGTTTCTATTAGGATTTTTTTTAATGTTTCAAGCCCCCTTAATCCCCAATTTTTATTTAGATTTTTTTTAATTAATATGCTTCGTCCCCTTATAGGGCTTGATTTTTTATGAAAATTTCAAGTTAGACATGGGATTCACCCTGTATATAGAGTGGCCAGACGAAAACTAAACAGCCATTATGACTATTTTAGACAAACGTCAACTTTTGATTGAAGGGGTAATTTTTCTATCATATCCTCAACCTCAACTGTCATACATCATTCCCCTTCCCTTCGTCACTCTAATCAATACAATTTAAATAGAAAAAATACCAAGTGATACATCATTAAAAAGGTAATTTTATGCAGACCTCTAACGTTAATACCTACAACATTTAATTGCAATCTACCAAAACAACAAATTTATGCTACGCATTAAATTACTAATCAAATTAACTTTCAAATGAAGTGTCACACTAGAGGGTCCCCCTAGAGTGTGTTAAAATCAAAAGTAACGCAATAGTTATATTGCTGAATTATTCATAAAATTAACATGTCATTGATGTATACTTTTATTTTTTAAATTGTGTTGGTTAGAGTGACGAAGGAAAGAGGAATGACGTATGACAGTTGAAATTATGATAGAAAGATGACCCCTTTAATTTAAAAAATTGACGTTCGAGTGTATATCTAAAATATTAACGCAATTTCGTTTCCGGCTGGCCACCCTGTATACAGGGCAGCGTTAATATCTTTAATAAATTTGAAAATGCCAGCGATATTTCTTATAGCCCGTTTTGAACTCTGAACACTCTAATTAACCCCAAAATATAATAACGCATTTAATTTGGGAAAATACCAGACTATATAAATAGTAGAATTTTTTCTATATGTTGCGCCCATGTTAGAGAAGCGTCAACATAATTTTGTCGTACAGATTTACCGTTTATTTTTAGTAAATGACATTCATCAGTTATTGGCCGAGGTGTGAAATGAATAAAGGTTGTCTTCTCAATTTGTAATTTATTTTTGCAGTTGAAATTACTTAAACTACAGAAAATTACAACACAACAAAACTTTTGTTATTAAAAATGCGGAATTATTTTTTAAATAAAATACGTAATTTCTTTATTTAGTAAATAAAAAGAATTGCAAACTTTCATAAAAAAAAACTGGAGCACACATTAATTTACCTTGTCATCTGAATAAGCTTTTTTATAAAATTTGTACTTTTTAAATCTTTACTTGTTTGATGGAAATTTTAAACTATTGATTTAAATTATTTTTAAAGTTAAATTATATAGCATTAGCTAATGTTATTTAATTTGTACTAATTGAGAATTTATTTATAAGGTAATTAAGAAATATCAGTAACTTTCCATTCCATTTAGACATTTTTCCCAAGAAATAAAAGTGATAAAAAATTGAGTTTTGAATTTTCACAAATATTTAATATAATGTATTTTTGGTTTTTAATAATATTCCTATTGTTTTATTTTACACGTTGCAAGATTGAGAAAACTTTTTCCTGGATTACTTAGGTTTGTTTGCCTATTGTGTAGCTAAAGGTTGTGTTGGCTAGTAAGTGACAGGCTACCAACCACATACTTTGATTACTATACGAGGCAAGACAGAGGTCCGACACGCCCAACATAGGGCGCGGCCATTTTGAACCCTGTGACACAGTTTACAGCTAAAAAATCAGATCGCTCACTCTGCGTCGGCACTTTTGATCTCAATGTTTCAGTTTATACACTGTGCAACTCGGATAATACAATATATGACAACCGTCTATAATAAAACAGCAGTCTTCTGCGTATCCTGAATTTGTATCCCTGGAGTGGATGTTATTTTGGAACTTTCAACTGGTCCGAGTGAGCTAACTGATTCTTTAGCAATAAACTGTGACTTCAAAAATAATATTCACTGACACTGACAGCAGCAAGCAAAATATCAGGTGCGTTTTAATCATCCGCTTCTGCTTCCGGAATTGTCGGTTTAGTCGTTTTAACCTGTCAGATTAAAACAAGAAAACCGACAATTCCGAAGCAGAAGCGGATGATTAAAACGCACCTATTAAAAATATTGCACCAAGATGTAGGCAACACGTAATAAGGGTTCAAAATGACGGAGTTTTCTATCTTCTTTTAAAAGGCACTCAGAAAGCTGCGCAGTGCGACCATTCTCCGTATAGTAAAAGAAAATCAAAGTATGTGCTACCAACTTTATTAAATGCTGCGTTTGAATATTCACATCCCATATAACGACTCATTATAACGCCCTCTGTTAATCCGTTGTGGAAACATAAGAATCCGAAGTAAGAAAAAAATATGATATTTCAATCTTTCTCGATTTTGGCTCCTGGTTCAATAAAACGACCGATTTAGTCAGAGGCTGGTAACTCAAATGAAAAACCTGAGGACGGTAATTTAGTACCACTCCAATTAACGGGATGGCGCTCATATCAAAATGTCATGTTAGTTGTCAGCTTGTCAACAAAACTTCAAACTTGGAAAAATTAAAATTAAAATGGCTGTTGCATTTGAAAATGTCGAAAAAGACGAAAGTGTCCTAAATATACCCCAAATCAATTAGCAAAGATGCCAAGATGCTGTCATCAATTAAGGCAGACACATTTTTCAAATGAGAGTTATTGTTATGGACGAACAAAAATCCTTTACACTTTGCCAACTCGGAAATCAAAGCAAACGATGATTTTTATATGGACAATATAGAAGGTTACCCAAACAATATAAAATACAAAGAAAAAACGAAAGCCGCTGAAAAAGTTGTGATCTGGTGTGTGCGATTTCGACTAGAGGGAAATCCAGACCTTATGTGGGTCGAGTAAGGGAAGCTGTAGATTCTGAATGTTATATTAACACCTGACTCACTAAATTAGTTGATTTTGTACATCAACATCACGTTGGAGACGATGTAATGTTTTGGCTCGACTTAGCGTCCTACCATTATGCAAGAGCAACTCGAAATTGGCTTCAACAAAACAATATACTTAAACGTTTATTTATTTAAAAACCGTTTATTATTCTAATTTATTTACACTAAATACACTAATTAATGTATTTATACTCAAATAATATACTAATTTATATGGACATTTACTTATATACTAATTTATATTAGCTATATTGACCTGCTCACAGCGATGTCTCAACTTGAATTGGCTCAAATAGCAAAATTTGGGCTATTTATATAAAAATGTGACGCTCATAAACATTAAAAACATTCTTAGAACATGTGAGACCGGTGCTCCCACCATTTTTTAGAGTAATGTATTCGCCAAAATCGTTGTTTAGGCGCTGCCGTATTTAATCTAGCTAGGGCTTTCTAGAACGAATGATTAATTCATTTCGACTAGCAGTGACCAAGCATAGTCGTATCTTAGGGGGGGTTTCGATGGTTGTTTATCCCATTGAATATTCTTGGTAAATGGTAAACTAGACTTTTTGTATCAACTAGATAAATACTGAATAACTAGTTCATTAAATTATTATTATTAATTATTATTTTTAATGCATTAAATGGTTGCAAAAATTGCGAAATCTGTAATTTTTTTAATTGATATAAATGAAAAAAAAAATATTTTGATATATTGTTAAATTTGGAGGCTCCCATATAGCCCGGGGCCCTCCCTCACCGCGCGCCCGTCATACACGCCACTGTAGTTTAAGTTAATAATTTTGTTAGTTACTAAGCTATTAATTATCGCAAATAATAAAAGTATAAATAAATAATGTCATTCCAACATTGTTGAATGTCTTAAATACATAATAAATTTAATCTTTGAGACTGGCAAAATACCCAGTGTTTTTAAATATACAATAGTAACATCTATTTTTAAGCAGGAGAAATAAGAAAAATATTTAGAATTATAGACCAGTTAGTCAAATAACAAATTTTGCTAAAATGTTTAAGAAATGCCTAAAAAGTAGGCTATACTATATGATTATTTAAAAAAAGCAAACATTCTGAGTACAAAACAATTTGGTTTCCAAAAGGAGAGGAGTACGAGAATAACACACAAACTACTTTTAAATATTCTTGAAAGTTATGGAATATGGTTAAGAGTCTTTGAAAACTATTTAAATGAAAGAAAAGAAATAATAAATAAGGAATGAACAAAGTTATATGGTTACAGTAAAAATAGGAGTTCCACAGGGAACAGTCCTGGGACCTATATTATTTATGGTTTACATTAATTCATTATTACAGTTAGATATTGAGGGTGTAACAATTTCTTATGCAGATGACACAGGTCTATTATTTGAAAGCAACACATGGGATTCTGTTAAAGAGGGAGTAATCAAAGGGATGAGAATAATCAAAAATTTGTTAGAAATGAATAAATTATTACTGAACATTTATAAAACTGTATATATAGCACTTTCATTAACTAATGCTAATCAACCAACATTTAATGAGATTCATATTGATACTCCTGGTTTTATCATAAAAGCTGAAACAACTAAATATTTGAGTGTAAAAATAGATAAAAATTTTAAATGGACAGCAAACAAAATCAGAAAACTAATACATAAATTCTATCTTATTTATATAAATCATGCAGGGCCGAATTTTAATTCTAAGGATGAGTGCGATAGGTTAATTTCCGTTATTCTGAAACAACAATTAGTTGAGAATTAATGAAGCAAATTTCAAATTTTTTTACACGGTTGAATAGAGAATAAAACCCTCTTTTAAATGAGCTATCACTCACCACCCCATGCCATTTAAATTTTTTGAAAGGGTTGCTTCCCTTCATTAAGGGATGAAATTAAGGGTAAACTAATCATACAAAAATGTACATTGTAGAAATCAAAAATCGACCTGTCTCGGCGATTTTCCCAATAAGACCCCAGAAACGAGTTAGTTAGGGGGGGTAAGACTTAAGATGCTCACTGTATATGTTTTTAATGCTAGTAAAAAAACTTTATGGCTTCTAATTGTGTAATTTTAATTCTATTTTAGGGGCAATTATTCAAAGGTATAATAAATAAATAACATTATAATTGTAAACTGTAATTTGTAGACTATATTATTAAACTATAGTTACTTATTACAAAAATATATGGTTAAATACTTTGTGCCAAAACTATTATGAAATAAATTAGTACCCTAGATATACATATAGGTATGAAATACAATACCATACAATGAGTTGAACAAAGTTTACTTTATAAGGTATATTTTTTCTGCTGAAAATTCAGTATCTGTATGTATTAGAAATTAATATGATTAAATACAATTAGCAGTGTAGTTTACATAATTTTATTTTCAAAGGTATATAAGTATGTTAATATCAATATTTTTGCAATCACCAAATTAAATTAATAAGTTATTAAAAATAAAAATGTACCATTTCTATAGTAGATCAGTATTTGGAAATTATTTTAAGTAAGGATAAAAAAAATTAAACACAAGTCATACTATTTTGCTATATGTAAATTAGATTAAAAACAAAATACCAAGACACTCTAAGAAAAACCAGAATTATTATGACATTATTACATGTTTTGCATAAAAATGTGTTAAATTATTTTATATACAAACCTGACTATTATCATGTTTTGGATAAAACACATCTAACAATCCTATAACATTTTCGTGCCTCATATGCTTTAATAATTTTAATTCTCTATAGGTTCTTTTAGCATGCACAGCTGTCTGAAATGGACGGGCTAGTTTCTTTATTGCTACTTTTTTATTTGTTACTGTGTCCAGCGCAGAACTGAAAATGTACACAAAGTTTAATCAACTAGCCAAGAGAGAATGAACTTAGATATATGGCATAGCTGTATAAATCTTTAAGACATGAACATTTTACACTAAAAAGAGATAAATATTCATGTAAAAAGTGCAGTAAAACATTTATTTTACAGTTTACTTAGTAGCTTACTATGAGTTACTAAAAGAAAATTATATGGCATCGAGTTATTCTTGTAGGATATGACACACCACAAAATGCATTGCTAATTAAGATATAAATGTAAAACCAATGAGTATTCAAAAAAAGTGAATTCATCTAGAAAAATCGAGGTTCGCTTCAATTAAAGTATACTAGAATACCGACATGTATATAGCAGTGTATCACAATGAATGTTGATTTCTTTTCAATTTTTTTTTTTTTAATACAATAAAATTTAGAATCTTCTGTATTAAATATTTTACTAAAGTATCCTACAACAAAAGTTTTGGTACTACACTATGAGATATGTAACTTGGTAAATTTTAATAAAGAGGCATTCATATGACACTTATATTTAACTTTTAACAAAATGATAGAACCTCGAATTGGGCTAATATTATATTAAATCAGTTGGAACTTAGTTGATTTAGTAGTTTGAAATATAAAAATACATATACTTATTAATAAGTAAACAGTTACTAGTATTGGAAGGCATTTATTTATTCCTATACCTAAAGGAGCTAAAATAAAACCTTTGGATTGTAGCTGCTAGAGTTGCTGGTTATACAATTATTTCTCTGATTTGGAAATACCGTAATTGCAAAAATTGACATATTTACGGCTGTACAAAATCATTTACTTTGTATTTTTATCTTTTTACATTACCTAAATAAACAAGAGGAGAGAGGTAATATGTATAACCTCAAATAATGACGTATATAATTATATTTTTAAACTATGATTTTTTGCAGTGAATTCGATATCTTTTGGATATAATAACCTGGCCTGGATAACATATACAATTTGGGAAAAATGTCACTTATTGCAGATGCTTAATGAGAAAAATAATTATCTTTTACCTACCAAACTTGTCCGTATGCACCTGATCCGACTGTTGAGAGTGCTTGGTACCTTTCTGGCACCTCCCAAACTGTTTTATTTACTTCTACTCTGTGGAAATTGGACATTTTCTAACAAGAACTATATTTATTTTCAAAAATTTATAACAATTATCACAAATAGCACTCACATCAAATTAACAGACTGATAAAAAAAAGAGAAACACAGATACAGCAGTGAGGCCCATCTGTGTGGGTGAATAAAACGAGGACAGCAACATTTAGGTGACATTGACAGGTTTAATGAATGAAAATTAAGAACAACCAACCCAATGGATTTAAAACAGAGGATAGCTCAGTCACTTAATACAGTGGCCAAGTACGTGTTACGTCACCATGTTTAACTTTTTTTTGTATAAAGAATAAACTTTTTTGTATTGATCTTTTTATTATAATTTATAATATATATTATTTGTTAGTTAAAGGCCGAGTCCATCGTTGTGTAAGGACCGATTCCACCATTGTGTTAAACGAAGTTTAAAATTACATTTTTACATTAACAATGTCATTTTAATCTCCATTTAAATTATTAATATCAGATTTAAATCAAATGTTGTTTTCACCGACATGTAAACTATGTTTAGTTTAACTAAACTACAGTTTAAATTAATCCCTGAACTGAATTAACACCTTAGGGCCAATCCCACCGTGTTAAACGAAGTTTAAATTACTAAGGACCGATTCCACCGTTGTGTTAAACGAAGTTTAAAGTGACATTTTTACATTAATAATGTCATTTTAATCTCCGTTTAACACAACGGTGGAATCGGCCCTTAAATAACATTTTTACATTAACAATGTCTTTTAATCTTCGTTTAGTATTTTAAACTTATTTTTTTAACACAACTGTGGAATTGGCCCTTAGTAATTTAATACGTAGCATAAATTTATTATTTTGGTTGATTGCGGTTAAATTCGTATTTCTTAACGTTAGAGCTCTACAAGCTTTTTCAATTATTTGTTCATTTTTCATTCAATTATGTTGTGTAGACCACCCAATATTTTACAAAGATAGGTACTTGATTATGGATTTTCACGTGATGCATAACATTTTTTCAAGAATAATTTTGTGAAATGTAAGATACTTTTTTCTCATTTAAATATATTTTTAACATAAAAACTCATGGTTGAAATTGAAAATATAATTTTCTTTTTTTTTTCTAATTAAAAAAGTAATAATAACTTTTAAAAGAGCGTTCAATTACTGTACTTACAATTTTCAAATGTCTATAATACATGATCATCCTAAACAAGAATGAACAGGTGTGTATTCTTGAAATTAAAAATTACCAAACCACGATCATATCAGCCTGTATCTTCCATCGGTCCTAACTGGTTCGTTTTGCAAGAAACAATATTTACAGGAATAAAACACACCGGATTAAACCTCGGATTTTTAAAAACTATATTAAATCGAAGGACCATCTTAACATTACGTCATTAAAGAAATATTTACTTAATGAAAAGGGTTCAATACTCTTGTACTATTTAACCGCGACTGTTTGAATTTTAACCAACTACACTTCGATGAGAACTGTTGCAGTTGCAGTGCGTACACAGGTTATTTACAGAGAATAAACATTTTATAACATTTTGTAGAATTTGTTATACAAGGTATTATTATCTCAATTGTCCGGTCCGAATTTGAAATACAAACCTAAATTACTACCAAATGATTTACTGGTACTCGAATTCAGAAACTTTGAGTTCTAACCATGATTTACAACGGAATAATTTATTACTCGAGGGCGGCTCAAAGAATTTAAGCAAATAACTTTATTGGGCCACCCTTTAAATATATTTATCGTGTTCTAATATATCAAAGATAATTTTTAGTCTAACAACCCTTATTATTATTATTATTATTATTATTATTATTATTATTATTATTATTATTATTATTATTATTATTATTATTATTATTATTATTATTATTATTATTATTATTTAAAATCAATGCATTTAAATGTGTGCGAGGATTTGCGGTGACGTCGTAATCGACATTTGGCAATAGCGGACTTCACAAATAGATTTGAGAAACTAGTCTATCCTGATAAAAATATATATCCTTGGGTCGAGAGCGTCTAATTGTAGTTATGTTTACCACTGTTGCCACATGTACAGCATTTTTTAAGGCGGAAAATTTAAAAGTTATTGAATGTAGGATACCTAAGTTGTGATTATAATTGACAATTTACGAATGTCAGTCCCAACGAGGAACTCGCATCGAACGTAACGCATGCGTTATATTTTCCAAAAGATTGGGTTTGTCATGTGATGGAATTTAAAAAAAATTATCGATATTTAAGCGTACCACGAAATTAATAAGAGAATAAATGAGTTTGATGACAATCATTGATATACCTCACTCTAAAACGTTCATCCATATACTGGGTATAAATAAATAAAAAATTGTGTGACGAATATAAATGACATTTTATATCGTTTGTTTCGCAGTCATTGTAATCCATGTAATACAGTGATAATATAATACACTATAGTCACGTATTGGTCATTAATAGCCAAATTCAGACAACTCGATTGGTTATTTTTCAAGAATACGTCGCGATAATATAACAACCTATTATCGAAAATAATTTTTTGAAATAAAGAATGTAAAATTATATATTATTATTTCTCCTTTATTTAGCAAAGCTAATAGCACATTACAATTAAATAAAATTACAAAAAAAAATACATATAAAACATAAAATATATGGAAAATAGGAAACAGAAGGTTAAGGTAAGTAATTGTGTTTAGAATACTATATAAAATAATATAGGAGGTACCACAGGGTAGTGTTCTGGGTCCGCTACTATTTTAAATTTATATTAATGACATTGCTGGTGTGGTCGAAAGAAGCTCAATACACTTATTCGCGGATGATAACTTTATGTATTTTACCAATGAAAACACTGAAACTTGTTTTAAAGAAATTAATATAGTTCTATAAGTAAAGTATGTGATTATTGGTATGGAAACTAGTTGAAAATAAATTACGAAAAGACAAAATGGATGTTAATTGGGGATACTGGAAATTTAAGGAAATTTAAATGTTGCATTGGTTGCCTGTTAAAACATATTTGCTGTTCTGTTCCCTGCTATGTATATTTAAGATTAAATCAGTAACCTCCCCAGTGTATTTACAAAATATTTCAAGTTGTAAACAGGGTGTTCATGAACACAATACACGAAATAAACAACATTTTTGAGTTTTATAAGGTTACAAAAAAATGTACACAAAATTCAGTTTTTTTAAAAGGTGTACAGGCTTTTAATAATTTGCCTGAATAAATGCCCTTCAAATCCAGCAATATTTAAATATAACTGCGTAAGTACTTGTTAACCAGTTGATGTTTTTTTTTTATTATATTTTGTAAAGTTATTATGTTATCATTTTACATGTACGTTGACTGTATATACTTATGTATTTTTATTTTATTTTAAATGTGTAGATATGTATTGACATGTAAAAAATTACTAAATAAACGATTTATAATATATAAACATTAAAATATTACAGATGCTAGTTCATTAACTTATAATCTCTTAATTTATATTTAAAGGTATTAAAAGAAGCGACATTTCTGAGTTTAGGGGTAACTCATTAAATGCTGAAAGTCCCTTCAAAAATACTGAATTTTGGGAATATTTACCTGTAACTTGCGGAATATGAAAATTAGATCTATTTCTTGTATTATAGCTATGATAGTTAAAGTTGATAATTAATTTTATCAAGCAAATAACGTTTAATTTTATGAATGAATATTAAAGTTAAGTAAAGAAAATACACTTTACTTTAATAATTACACAAAAAATTGCGAATACATAAGAATAAGAAAAAATAGGCAAACAGAAAACACATGAATGAATAATTTGACATATCAATATCGTCAAATGTACACTTGGCAACGTCGGTAAACAGATCTACATTTAGATGCTCCTTACTTGACGTGTCATGACATAAATGAAGTGTTGCCAACATTCCAAATTTAGCTGTCATAGAGAGTGGGAGGTTCCAACTTATTATTACTAATGGATATGTTACTGTGTTATCATTAGTACAATAGATCCGTGAAAGTCTCTTTAAATTTAAAAGTGTACAGTGCAATAAAAAACAAAAAATGTTCAGTTGGTTATCGAAGGATAGCAGTAAACAAGAACTTTACCAAAATGTTGTGGAGGGACTCAAGACAATTTATAGAAACAAACTTCTACCTTTGGAAGAACATTATCAGTTTCACGACTTTCACTCCCCAAAATTGGAGGATTCTGATTTTGATGCGAAACCCATGATTTTGCTGGTAGGGCAGTATTCCACAGGAAAAACGACATTCATCAAATATTTGTTGGAAAGGGAGTTTCCAGGAATTAGAATTGGCCCAGAACCTACCACTGATAGATTCATAGCTGTGATGTGCGATGATAAGGAAGGTATGATACCTGGCAATGCTCTTGTGGTTGACCCTAAGAGGCAATTTAGACCTCTGTCCAAGTTTGGCAATGCTTTTTTAAATCGTCTTCAATGTTCTTTGGTGAACTCTCCAGTTCTAGAAAATATTTCGATTATAGACACTCCTGGAATATTATCTGGTGAGAAACAACGAGTAGATAGAGGCTATGACTTCACTGGGGTGCTAGAGTGGTTTGCTGAAAGAGTAGATAGGATAATCCTACTTTTTGATGCCCACAAACTGGACATTTCTGATGAATTCAGAAGATCTATTGAGGCTCTAAGGGGCCATGATGACAAAATTCGCATTGTTTTGAACAAAGCTGATATGGTTGACCATCAACAACTTATGCGAGTATATGGTGCTCTTATGTGGTCTCTAGGGAAGGTTCTACAAACTCCTGAAGTTGCTAGAGTTTACATAGGCTCTTTTTGGGACCAACCTTTAAGATATGATGTTAATAGAAGACTTTTTGAAGATGAAGAACAAGATTTATTCAAAGATCTTCAATCATTACCACGAAATGCAGCACTTAGAAAGTTAAATGATTTAATTAAAAGAGCTAGATTGGCCAAAGTTCATGCTTATATTATTGCAGAGCTTAGAAAAGAAATGCCATCTATATTTGGGAAAGATTCTAGAAAGAAGGAGTTAATTAAAAATTTGGGACAAATATATGACAGACTTCAAAGAGAGCATCAAATTTCACCAGGAGATTTCCCCGAGATCAAAAAAATGCAAGATGTCCTTATCAATTTAGACTTCAGTAAATTCAACCCACTCAAGCCAAAATTACTAGATATTGTTGATAGAATGCTATCTGATGATATATCCACATTAATGGCTAAAATTCCAATGGAAGCAGAAGAAAAGTCTCAGAAAAATGGAGATGGAGTTGTCCAGGGTGGAGCATTTACCAATGTTGAAGATACTGTTTCACCATTTGGTTACAAGAGAGGCGAAGGCATTGATGCTGGTGCAGGAGAGTTAGACTGGATTGTAAGCAGAGAGAAACCTAAATATGATGACATTTTCAATTCCTTGAATCCTAAAGATGGAAAAGTTACAGGAATGGGTGAGTTTATTTAAAATTTTATTGCTTTTTTACTTTATTTATTTTTTTTTATTTAAACAAACTGATTTATTATTTTTAAATGACCTTCAGTTTGGTTATTTTATTATAAATAACAAAACATATTTTTGAATTGAAAATACCAGAACATTTACTACCTACTTGATTGGAAAATTACTTTATTATATTGTACACTCGTTTGTGTAGTATCAGGGGTCTAAGCCTTAACTTGAGTATTTTTTTAATTATAAATTTTACTACTAAAATAATCTCTATTTGATATAATAGGATTAAAAACTTCGCAGTCTTAGTGAATTATGAGGAACCATCAAAAAATCTTTTCGCATACCTACCTGCTAAAAAAGCGTCACAACTCAAAAAATATAGTTTCAAGTTAAACATTTAAAGATAATGCCAGGCATTACATCTGGTTCTTTTGAAGATCAGTAAAGTATTAGTAAAAAAAATAATGCTTCTTTAGAAGGTAGGATGTTTAATTTTTTATCAATCTATGGAATTATCTCAAAAATGTGATTTTTTTTTAATTGTGACGCTTTTTTGGTGGGAGGTATTTTATTTACTTAAATATAAACATTTTACAAGTTTCTCCTTATAAATATCAAATATCAACTGTACTTTGTATTGTACTTGTAAATCAACATACCATTATTTGATCTTGTAGTTGGTGTCAGTAGTTAATCTAGTTCATTTTATACTCCAGTACTTTTTACCTGTACTTGGAACATCTACAGTTGGAATTTTAATAAAAATAAGAATAATATAAAAAAATTGGAATGCTGTCAAAATATTTGATTTTAATTTATAATTTACCTATTTAGAAGCAAACCGAACACCTTGGAAATTTCTAATTCTTTCTAAGCCTTTCTTTTTAGTCCGATTTTTGTAAAATTATCAGGAAATACCAATAACAAAATTTAGACTGGAGAAACCTTGATTTTTTTGTAAACCTTTGAAAAGGATATATTTTGATTATTTTTAAAAGAAATAAAAAATAAACATTTACGCGCCATTTTGTATTAAATCTATAAAAATTTGCTTTTGGTTTTACTAAACATCTTGTAGTATTTAAATGGGAGTGTTTCCCACCTTTTTTTCTTCTTAAATATTTCTATAGAGTACTCCTTATCACACAAATTTAAAGCTCTCAATATTCTCGAGACACATAACATCGTGAAGTATTCCCAGTGGCGGGCATAAAAATAAAATTTTACGTTAGAAATTCCACAACTTTTTTCTTTTCACAAAAGGTCAGGTTTGTTCTTCAGTTACTGCAATTTACCTACCCCAATCAATTTGTTACATATTTTAAAGCTAGAATGATTAATTGCTTACATGTACATCTATTTGAGCGTCATGTATTTAAACATATTTTTGGCAATAAAATTACTGACAATGTTTAAGGATCAAGTATTTTTAACCATTTTAAAACTTTCATGCTATCAATATATTATTTGTTAAAAAATATGAATAACAATTTAGTCAAATTACGAAAAATATAATATATTGACCACGCCCTATATAATTCGTGTGTTAAGTAATATTAAACACAATGAATTTAAAAGTAATATTAATAAAAAGTAGATACTATTGCATGTTAACAAACAGTTGACCCAAATGATACACCATTGTAAATTAAAATATTATGGTTACTGTTTGATATACTTACTTAGCTGTAAAAATTAATTAATTGTGTACACAAAATTTTATTGGTATTGGTTATAGACTAGTGGAAGTTTTAGGTTACCTGTTATATAAATGTTTAAATGAAAAATGAAATAAGTGTATTTAAAAAACTAAACAGCTTTTTCTTGTATGGTGAAAATATTCAAAATATTATCACATGGGGAAGCTTAATATTTAATATTTTCTATGTAATAATAAAAATATATATGTGATAATTATGAATTCCCTATAAATTCTATAAACATAAACCATACACAGAACCATTTTTTTTTATTTTTTAAAAAATATGTAGGTACAATGGTCTTAAGTATCCACCTGAAGTAACAAAAAAATATGTCAATTTAGGTATATTCGAATGGGGAGATATTGTGCCATATTTAGGTTTGCTGGAAAAGTTGCACTTTCACCCCTGCTATTAATCCTTCGATTTTCATTGTGCCACTTTTGATTTTTACGCCCTTTAAAGGGTTTAAAAACTTGAAGTGTTACACTTCACAATATGTAATAAATAGTTTTTATCTCGTTAGAGTGAGTTAAAATCAAAAGTAACACAATCAAAAATCATATTGCTGAATTTCCCAATAAATTACCTTTTCAATGGAGTCCCATATGACTTGCTATTTGAAAAAATTGAGGGGATGATAGCAGGGATGGGAGGACGACTTTTTCAGCAAACTTAAATAGGGCGCAATATCTCCTCCTTCGAATGTTACTTGACATACATTTTGTTTTTTTTTAATCAGATCTTTAAAAGTTACTTAAGGTGGATATTTTTATCTGAAGAGCACTATATAGTAATCAACCATTAATAACAGGTGATTCAATCGATGATGTATTATTTTTAGAATCAATTATTTGTTTTTGTCTTATCACTTTAAAAAAATGTTTACTTGGAAAAATGATAGAAGGACATATTAATTAAATTATCAAACCTTTATTGATCAAACATCCCTAAAAGCGAATAATTCTTTAATGGTTTGATTAAAAATTCGAAAATTTATAAGGCATAAATATAATATCTCGAACTGATTTTTTTGACGGCGCCGGTCTACTAATGATTTCTAAAATATAATTAAGGATAATTAACTTTATTACGTTTATGAGGGTATACCATTGAATCTGATTATTAATTAAATGAACTCTCATTCACTGGTGGCATTGAAAGTACAATAGTAGGTACCATGATTTTGTGATGTGCGCTGAGCATTTTTATTGAATGAAATAGTGGAATACTTGGATCATGAATAATACAATTTACCGGAATTTCCAACTAAAATTTAGTTACAGTTATTTAAATAATCATTTAATAGCATAATTATTCTACAAATATTTATAGATATTTTCTGATTAAAAAACTCATATTTGAACTCGGTAATAAAATACAGGGTGTCCCAAAAAATCAGTTTTTTTAAGCCGTATACGAGATTTGTCAGAAAATATGAGTTTTGCTAAAAAGTAAAGTACCTTAATTTTTAACAAACCTCGTATACGACTGATAAAATTTGTTATCCGATGGTTGTATTTTAGGTTTTAGACCAGGCTCGACTTTTTATGAAGAATAACTTTTTTTCCAAATATTAATAATAAAAAAGTTTTTCATATGCCACCAACTCGGCTGCGCTATGGTAAAACAAAGTATCTGTTTCAGATAAAATATTACAGGAGAACAAAAAACAAGTTCAAAGCGTTGCATGGATTTTAAAACTGCTATAATATTGTACAAATTTCTTGTGGAAATTTGTTTTACGGCAGTTACGCTGCAACTCTTTTAGACCATTTTTAAAATATATCATTGTTCTAAGAAAAAACAAAATATAGTGCTATATGTTGTTTTTTCATTAGAATTTACATGATTAACCATCCCATGTATGCTAGGAAGAAAGGGAGTACAGTCAATGTCAAAATATCAATTTCGACAAAAATGTTGGTTACTTTGTTTTACCGTACAGCAGCCGAACTGTCTACGTAAGTTGGCGCATTTTTTTAGCAGTTCTGCAGCTTTACAGCCGTCATTGGTATACAGTATATTAAATTTCGTACACTCTTGCCAGAAGAATGGTATAAAATAAGCAATGTCATTTATTAGACAGAATTAGAACAGTGCGCGCCAGCCCACTGTGGTGGAAATGTATCCATCTATCCATTCACGACAGGCAGTCGATTTACGAGAGTCTCTCGTTATTTAGGTCACGTGCAAATATAATTAAGAGTTTCAATATTTGTTAACATATAATATTGTATATATATAAATTAGGCCCCATCGACTTATTTTGACCTATACAATATTGGGACATCCTGTCTCTGAATACACAGGCATACTTTTGGTGATTTACCGGTGTGAACTTAGCAGCCAATTTCTAGCAGCCAAAATTCCGAATATTACCGAATGATCAGTAGCGTCGTTCAAATAGAGTCAGTTAATTATTAGGTTAGAAATAGGACAAAAGCAATTTAAACGTCGACCGAAATTTGATAACAGGACGTTCTTTCCCATCAATATTAAATAAAATTAAAAGCACAGTACCGTTACTTTAAAAATAAAATTATAATTTTACCTGAGAAGGTATTAAGTCACATAAAAATATATTTTCTAATATTTATAATGGTAGTATTTATTACCTCAAAGGAAAAATATGAAAGATATAATAAACATTTTCCTACAAGGGTAAATAAACTACCTCGTGATAATAAAATAATCAGAAACAAATAAGTTATCACTTTAAACTGTTTTAAAATATTTTTATTAGGTAAAATACGTATAATAAAAATATGAATTACTATCACTCCTTCCAAAAGGGGTAAAATAATAAAATAATTATTTTACCAAAGAAGACCATCTATTATCACTTTAAAATATATTTTAAAAAATGTCAAATAATGTTATGTACTCACAGTAAAAATAGGAATTACTAGCGCCCCTCCAATAAAGGATAAAATGCCCTTAGGATAATAAAAAAATGGTTGACCAAAGAATTAAATAAATGTAATCTAAAAAACTTCTATTAGTATTATATACTTACAGTAAAAATATGAATTACTAGCGACCCTCCCAACAGGGTTAAAATGCCCTTAGCATAATTAAATAATTAGTTTACCAAAGAAGGAAATAAATTATCACTTTAAAATGTTTTTTAATAAATGTTTTTTAAGTGTTATGTACTTTCATAAAATTATGAATTACTAGCGCCCTTTCAAACAGTGGTAAAGTGCCCTTAGGCTAATAAAATAATTAGTTTACCAAAGAAGGAAATACATTATCACTTTAAAATGTTTTTTTTAAATGTCTATTAGTGTTATAT